TTACAGACGTGAGCCATTGCTCCTGGCCACAAGTTCTTATTAATAAAGCATTTCTGCATAATCCTTGAGGTCAGGAGTTCAAGACCAGCCTGACCAACATGGTGAAACCCCATCTCTACTAAAAATACAAAAAAATTATTCGGGCTTGGTAGCAGGTACCTGTAATCCCAGCTACTCAGAAGACTGAGGCAGGAGAATCGCTTGAACCCGGGAGGTGTAGGTTGCAGTGAGCCAAGATTGTGCCATTGCACTCCAGCCTGAGCCAGAAGAGCAAAACTCTGTCTTTAAAAAAGAAAAAAAGAACTTCTAAGACAATCAGATGACACATGATGGGCCCACCTAAGATCTCAGTTTGCTTTGTGCCAGGTGGAGGTAATAGTAAGAGTGCTTAGTGCTAACTGACGACCTGGCTTAGTACTGCGAGGTGCTGTGTCGCATCACTCTTGACACATCAGGTACTGTCGTCATCCACATTTCACAAATGAGTAGACCAGGACTCAAAGAAAACTTGCCTAAGTGCCCCCATTTATGCACATATAGCCAGCCTTTCTCAACAGACTTCACTGACTGCCTTCCTGGGGACTGTTAACATGCTATGACCATTTCTGGTTTTTTTCCCCTTTTGTGCTTTCCTAAAGATGATAATTTGGTTTTGGCCCTATTTGTGAAATGCTCTAGCTTTTAACACTTTTAGAAATGTGCCACGGCTTCAGGGAGAACCCTTTGGCTAGAAAGCCACGTAGACTGTAAATGGATGTGAACTAGTTAGTAAACATTAATAACTGACTAGTGGAAAATTGATCCCATCAGTGTGCATAAAAAGTAAAAATTTATTTAGACTTTAACACACAGGTTGACAGCATGTTCATTTTGTGATGACAGCCTAGTTGTCTTATTAGGTAAGTGTTATTAGCCTCAGTTTACAAATGGAAAAACCAAAGCCCCTAGCAGCTCTTCAACTTTTCCAAAGTAAACAGCTGGGTCCACACAGAACCATGCACGAGGCCTAGCTCCACACACTCATCCTGTCAGACTTCTGAAGCAGGGTCTCTCCTTTACTGTACCTGAGTACCCGAGCAGGTTGTACGTGATCACACATTGGCTAGATTACTCCAGGATGTTCTGAGAATAGGATTTTCTAGTTCATCAAACTTTCTTGTTACCCAAGTATCAACCAGAAAGTTCTTTGTAATACATTTTAAACCTTTTAAAATGAGCATGGGGCCAGACGCAGTAGCTCACACCTATAATCACAATACTTTGGGAGGCTGAGGCGAGCAGACCACCTGAGGTCAGGAGTTCAAGACCAGCCTGGCCCACATAGTGAAGCCCTATCTCTACTAAAAATACAAAAAATTAGCCAGGCATGGTGGCACACACCTATAATCCCAGCTACTTGGGAGGCTGAGGCAGGAGAATCACTTGAACCTGGGAGGCAGAGGTTGCAGTGAGCCGAGATTGTACCACTGCACTCCAGCCTGGGCAACAGAGCAAGACTCTAGCTCAAACAAACAAACAAAAAAAACATGGAGAGCACTCAGCTGGCCGTGAGCTTGCTGGCTGGGGACAGGCACCACATAAATTTAAAATTTTTTAAAATTAAAAAGGGCGTGGGTTTTATTGCCTGAAGCGGTGAGTACAACACAGCCAATAGACACTATCTGTTGTTAAGTATTGACCCGTTTCCACCATTCCCTGCCTTCACGCCTCTGTATCTACCCTGACCACCTTGCTGTTCATCACACATTCGATGTGCCCTACTGGGACTCCTCCGTCTCCAAGCTACTCTTCTCCCAGGTTGCTACAAGTGTTCCCTTTCAGGGATCACTTTCTTGGAAGGCCTGACCTTCCTACTTAAAACTGCAGCTTTGGTCTGGGGTAGTGGCTCAGGCCTGTAATCCCAGTACTTGGGGAGGCCAAGGTGGGTGGATCGCTTGAGCTCAAGAGCTTGAGACCAGCCTGGGTAACATGGCAAAACTTTGTCTCTACAAAAAATATAGAAACTAGCCAGGTGTGGTGGCGTGCACCTGTGGTCCCAGCTGTCAGCTACTCAAGAGGCTGAGGCAGGAGGATCACTTGAGCCCAGGAAGTTGAGTCTGCAGTGAACTGAGATCACAGCACTACAACCTAGGTGACAGAGTAATACCCTGTCTCAGAAAAACAAAAGGGCCAGGAGCAGTGGCCCACGCCCATAATCTCAACACTTTGGGAGGCCCAGGTGGGCGGATCACTTGAGCTCAGGAGTTCAAGATCAGCCTGGCCAACATGGTGAAACCCCATTTTTACCAAAAATGCAAAAAATTAGCCAGGCATTATGGTGGGCGTTTGTAATCCCAGCTACTCGGGAGGCTAAGGCAGGAGAATCACTTGAACCTCGGAGGCAGAGGTTGCAGTGAGCCAAGATTGTGCCACTGCACTCCAGCCTGGGCGACAGTAAGACTCCATCACTCACTCAATCAATCAGTAAATAAATACCAAAAAAATTGTAGTCTTCTCCTTCTATCCCAGCCATCTCCTTTCTTTGTGGGATACAGCTTCTCCTAACAGAACACAGAATATACTAATACATGTTCATTGTTTATTATCTGTCTCCCTCCACTGCATTGTTAGCTGTTTGCTTCCCAGGCAGGATCTTTGTTTTATACCTCGAACAGTGCCTCGAACAAAGCAGGTGTTCAATAACTGTTCATTGAACAAGTGAATGATACGAAAATGATCTGTAAAGAAGAAAGTGCTACACAAAAATAAGTTGATATGGTATCATTCTTCATACCTTCAGGCTCCGAGACTTTTTCCAAGTCTTTAAAATCAGAGGTGTTAAATGACATGTTGAAAACAACTTGATTGTGTGAGGGAGGAACAATTTTAATTTTGTGTGCTATTTTTATAGCCCTTGTATTGTGAAGAAGCGGATCTCTTTTCAGTAGAAAGTAAAGCACCTTGAGTTATATCTATTAGCCAGTTCATTATTCTAAAGTAAGCGAGAAAACTCTTTCTTTTCAGAAGTAGAACATAATTCCAAAAAGATTTTTTTCCAGGTAGTTAGCCTCAGAAAGACTATTTTAAGTGCAGTTTCAGGTATGACAACTTGAAGGAGAACTGGTGTTAAGTGAAACTTTATCGTGTGCCTGGAACAGAAGTTCTGGGCTGTGGTTTGGCTTCTCTGGCTTGGCCTGGAACTGATGGAGGTATAGCAACAGGTCCTGACACACACAGTGCTTTGGGGATGATGACAGTGTAGGCCCATGGGAATCTACACACCCAGTGCTACCAAGCCCCTTTCCATCATTGTTCTGGTTGTACCCGTTTTTATGATAAGCGTAGTTGGGAGGCCAGGCAGGAGAAGATGCAGACACTGGGAAGTCCTGGGATTTTAAACCCTATAGAGGTAAACTGGAGACAACCATATAAGAACATTTCAAATTTTTTTTATTTGTATAAATTTAAGGGGTATAAGTGCAGTTTTTTGTCATGGATATATTGCGTGGTGGTGAAGTCTGGGCTTTTAGTATAACCATCACCCAAATAGTGTACATTATACCCATTAAGTAATTTCTTTTTTTTTTTTTTTTAAATTTTGTTTTTGAGATGGAGTCTCCCTCTGTTGCCCAGGCTGGAGTACACTGGCGCAATCTCAGCTCACTGCAACTTCCACCCCCCCAGGTTCAAGCAATTCTCCTGCCTCAGCCTCCCCAGTAGCTAGGAGCTAGGATTACAGGCATATCACCATGCTGCCCGAATTTTTTTTTTTTTTAAGTAGAGACGGGGTTTCACCATGTTAACTGGGATGGTCTCGATCTCCTGACCTCGTGATCGGTCCGCCTTGGCCTCCCAAAGTGCTGGGATTATAGGCATGAGCCACCGCGCCTGGCCCCATTAAGTAATGTCTTAACGCTGTCCCCCCATGCCCACAACTCTTCCAAGTCCCCAGTGACTATTCCACATTCTTAGGTACATGTGTACGCAGTATTTAGCTCCCACTTATGAGAACATGCCTGATTTGATTTTCTGTTTGTAAGTTGTTTCACCTAAGATAATGGCCTACACATTACTGCATCCATCCCCACTGCTGCAAAAGACAGGAATTTATTTATTTATTTATTTATTTATTTATTTATTTATTTATTTTGAGACAGGGTCTTGCTCTGTTGCCCAGGCTGGAGTGCAGTGGCGTGATCTCAGCTCACTGCAACCTCTGCCTCCTGGGTTCAAGCAATTCTCCTGCCTCAGCCTCCCAGGTTACTGAGATTACATGCATGTACAACCATGCCCAGCTAATTTTTGTGTTTTTAATAGAGACAGGGTTTTGCCATGTCATCCAGGCTGGTCTTGAACTCCTGACCTAAGGTTATTGCCTGTTTTGACCTCCCAAAGTGCTGGGATTACAGGCATGAGCCACTGCGCCCAGCCAATTATATTCTTTTTTATGGCTAAATAGTATTCCATTGTATACATACACCACATTTTTTTTTCCAGACATTCATTGATGGATACTTAGGTTGATTCCATATCTTGGATATTGGGAGTAGTGCAGTGATAAATATAGCAGTGCAGGTATCTTTTTGATACAATGATTTGTTTTCTTTTGGCGTATACGCAGTCATGGGATTGCTGGATCGAATAGTAGTTCTATTTTGAGTTATTTGATAAGTAGTTCTATTTTGAGTTCTTCCAGTTCATTTTCCATAGAGTTTGTACTAATCTACATTCTCAGCCGTGTAAGAACATTTTAAATGGGTTATGACCACCGTATTTGTGGTTCCAGAGTGTCCCATGCTTGCTTCTCTCACAGCCCTTTCCACACATCCTATTGGCATCATTTGCTTATTTGCCTGATCCCCCACCCCAACTGAGATCTTATGCAGCACCCTGTCTTGTTCATTTTGATACCCCAGAATCTAGCCTAGAAGTTCAAGGGGGTAGATAGACAGGGTGGGAGAGAAAGGTCATTACCCAATTGTATATACCAGTGCATTGACTGAACTTTTCTTTTCCCACAGATTGGAAACCAACATATATATCAGCCTGTGGGTAAACCAGGTAAAGAAGAAAAGAATTGGGCGGCAAGAAGTTAGTTTAATTTGATGAAAACAGGTTTTGAATGTATATGGTGTCGTAGCTTTGGAATACCCTCATGATTAATTTTGCCTCTACAGACCACAGCAAGTACGATGTTTACCACATTCAACTCATTACTAGAGTATTGGGAAAAAGAATTTGTTGGTATAATGCATCAGAAATACCTCCTTAGGGTTGCAGTGAGCCAAGCTCATGCCACTGCACTCCAGCCTGGGTGACAGAGCAACACTTGGTCTCAAAAAAAAAAAAAAAAAAAGAAAAGAAAAGAAATGCCTCCTTAGAATGCAAGATTAGTGTATTTTGTAAGAACAGCAGTAGGCATTTAGGCATTTATTTAGGAGTGGTTTCTTTCTCTCTCTCTCTTTTTTTTTTTTTTTTTTTGGAGACAGAGTCTTACTCTGTCACCCAGGCTGGATGGAGTATGGTGGCGGGTGCAATCTCAGCTCACTGCAACCTCCACCTCCTGGGTTCAAGCAATTCTCCTGCCTCAGCCTCCCAAGAAGTAGCTGAGGTGTGGTGCACACCACCATGCCTGGCTAAATTTTCTTTTCTTTTTTTTTTTTTTTAATTTTAGTAGAGATGGGGTTTCACCGTGTTGCCCAGGCTGGTCTTGAACTCCTGAGGTCAGGCATCCGACCACCTCAGCCTCCCAAAGTACTAGGATTACAGATGTGAGCCACAGTGCCCAACCTTCTTTCTCTGTTTTTTATTTTTTTGAGACAGAGTTTTGCTCTTGTTGCCTAGGCTGGAGTGCAATGGTGCTATATTGGCTCACCGCAACCTCCACCTCCCAGGTTCAAGTGATTCTCCTGCCTCAGCCTCCTGAATAGCTGGGATTACAGGCATGCACCACCACACCTGGCTAATTTTATATTTTTACTAGAGACGGGGTTTCTCCGTGTTGGTCAGGCTGATCTCAAACTCCCGACCTCAGGTGATCTGCCTGCTTCGGCCTCTCAAAGTGCTGAGATTACAGGCGTGAGCCACTGCCCCCAGCAGTTACTCTTTCTTAACGCACATGACTTAATGGCAATCGTTCTCTCTCACCAGATCCTGCAGCTCCACCAAAGAAACCGCCTCGCCCTGGAGCTCCCGGTCACCTGGGAAGCCTTGCCAGCCTCAGCAGCCCTGCTGACAGTTACAACGAGGGTGTCAAGGTGGGCATCTGAGCCTGTGCAGCACCTTCTGCTTGCAGGATTTTTGGTGTCCCCTAGTTTTCAGTTGACGGTGTTCATGTCATAGAGTGGAGTTGGTGCTGAAAATAGAACAGTGCAGAGTGGAACTGCAGTGAGACCCAGTACTCAACTGGTCTGGTTCTGAACCCCTCTGAGAGTCAGGGAAAAGCTTTATGCAAACATTTTCTTTTCCATTTTCCTCTCAGTTAATAGATTTTAGGAACTCAGTCAGATTCTGATTTTCTACATACATCTTCCTCTAATCAGACAGAATGTTTTCTTTAGAGTAAAGTGCCGAGATTGTTTCTGGTTTTAAAAATTAATTAAACCAGGATGCTTGGGGTAAGTGAGGACTTTCGTAGGCTCCAAGTTTGTAAGTGTGGCTTCATAGAAGACTTATTTATTTTCCATTTAGAGTTAGAATTGGATTTGTAAAAGCAGTGTATGCTGAGTAGAGCCATCCTCAAACCAAGGGGAGTGTTTGACTCATGCACAAACAACCATAAGCTTCTGAGTTTGGCAGTCAGAAGTCAGGTGCAGCCTGCCCCAAGAGGTGCCAGCTGGAGCTGTTGGTGCCTGTGACTCTCCTGGGTCCCCACCAGCCCTCACCGAGTGCTGGAGCCATTAGAGCAGCAGCCCTCCTCCCTGAGAGATCTGACGGAGGAGGCTCTTCTTTTCTAACCTGGATCCTGTAAGGAGATGGGATCTTCTTACTTTCCGCTTAAGATAACAAATTACCTCTCAAAACAGACCCTATTCCTCAATTCTTATATACCTTTTATTCACATTTTAATATCTCTAAAATTGGGATGGTGTTTTGGTTTAATTGGCAGGATTTTTTCTTTCTTTCTTAGTGGTTCATTAAAAAATGATGCATCTTGGGCTGGGCACAGTGGCTCACGCCTGTAATCCCAGCAATTTGGGAGGCCAAGACAGGTGGCAGATCACGAGGTCAGGAGTTTGAGACCAGCCTGGCCAACATGGTGAAACCCCGTCTCTACTAAAAATACAAAAAAATTAGCTGGGTGTGGTGGCGCATGCCTGTAATCCCAGCTACTCAGGTGGCTGAGGCAGGAGAATCGCTTGAACCCAGGAGGCGGAGGTTACAGTGAGCCGAGATCATGCCATTGCACTCCAGCCTGGGCGACAGAGCAAGACTCCGTCTCGAGGTTAAAAAAAAAAAAAAAAAAAAAGGTGCGTCTTATAGTGGAAGACATCTTAAAATCTGAAAAAAATCACATCAGGTTAAGATAAACTTTGCTTTACCAGTAACCACCATTTATTGAATGGCTTCCCTTCACCAAGTTCTGTGGCAGTCCTTTTTCATGTATTATCAGTTCTCATGTCAACCTCACAGGATTGGTAGTAGTATCATTTCTCAAATGACCAAGGCTCACAGAGATTAAGCAGTTTGTTCAAGGTTACACAGCCTCCACATAGCTGAGCTGTGCTTGGCCGCAGGCTTGGCTGAGCACGTACTTGAGTCAAAGGCACTGGCCTCCAAAGCTAAGCTTAGTTAGATGTGGATACATTGTTGTCTTCTCAGAGTCATCAGAAAGTTAGTCCAGGGTAAGAGAAAATGTCATCTCCAGGCCCAGAGTGATAGCCTGCAGCTTAGAGGGCACACGTTTGCCAGTGTTCATTGAGGAGGTGACCAGAGGGCGAATGGGCAGCCACTGGCACAAACTAGCCTGCTCTCTGTGGCCATAGTGAAAGTACCAGCTGGGCTAGGGATGCCTCTGCCCTTAGGGTTGGTGCTCAGAGTTCATGCCAGGGGCTTGTAAGTACCTGGGAATCAGGAACTTCCCCAGTTCACCAGGCCTCCAATCCCTAGGATGCCTCCTGACAGTTCTGTTAAAGACACACTGTCTTCTCCAGGGAAAATTGAGGAAGGACACACCCTTCCCAATATTGGCTTCTTTCAGTAAATTTCGAAAAAGGTACCAGACATGGTGGCAGACCCCTATAGTCCCAACTACTCGGGAGGCTGAGGAAGGAGGATCACTTCAGCCCAGGAGTTTGAATCTGGCATGCGCAGCATAGTGAGACCCTATCTCTTTAAAAAAAGAAAAGGGGACAAAATGAGATTAATGAATTACTTCTTATTTTCATAAGCCAAAAGAACAGACTTTCAAAATGGCTTGTATTACAATGAAAAACCAACTTTAGAGGTAGATCAGGTACCACCTTAGAATTCTGACATATGCTTATGTTCCATAGCTGGAATAACATAATGAATATAATTAGGAATACCCTTAATGTAGGGTATGAAGCAAATTGAAATCTTGAAAATAATGTGTACTTAAAATATATTAAGTAAAGATTTCCCCCCTCCCCCCCACCGAGACAGAGTCTTGCTCTGTCACCCAGGCTAGAGTGCAGTGGTGCAATCTCGGCTCACTGCAAGCTCCACCTCCCAGGTTTACGCCATTCTCCTGCCTCAGCCTCCCAAGTAGCTGGGACTACAGGTACCCGCCACCACGCCTGGCTAATTTTTTTTTTTTTTTTTTTTTGTATTTTTAGTAGAGACAGGGTTTCACCGTGTTAGCCAGGATGGTCTCGATCTCCTGACCTTGTGATCTGCCCGCCTCGGCCTCCCAAAGTGCTGGGATTACAGGCATGAGCCACCGCACCCGGCCTAAGTAGATTTTTAAACAATGTGAAATATACACCTGTTTCTTCATTGTCTGCTTGGTAGAGGTCATTGAATCCATCCTAAAAGAACAGTCATGGTAGTGCATGCACACTGGCCAGGCTGGGCCTGATATCTTTAAACGCAGCCCCAAGTCAGGAATCTTTATGATAGCATTATGACTAGATGATGAAGTGGATCTCACGGATAGTTGGGGGCTGAGCTCAGGAATTTAGGCTGCTTTAGTTTCTCCTGAATCTCTGAGAATTCAGATGGGCAGTTTTCAGTAATTAAAACCATATGTCCTCCTCCTCCTTTCTTTTTGAAGAGCCCTCATTCTGTTGATCTTGCACTGCTGCTGGATTGTTCCTCGGGCTTTGCATGTTCCCTGCATTTGTTTTGTAACTGAGCATGGTGCATGGCAGACCTCTCTGTGCAGTGTGCTGGGGCAGTGAGCGGGTGGCACAGTAGCCACACCTTGGCAACAGTGAGTGAGAGCTGGTGGGCAGGCTGGAAACTAGCTCCTTTTTGTTCTGCTCATGTGTTTTTATGGGGGATTTGTCTGATGCCTTTATTAATATTGTTTTTCTTTTTTCCTTTTCTCTGATAAATTCCTTTAACTTTTCCTCACCTTCCGTTCGACAATAGCCATGGAGGGTAAGCACATCGTGTCTTTGTGTGTCTGTCCAGCTCTCTCTATCACACCCGGCTCTCTGCATGTAACTTTGGACTGGAAAGCAGAAAGCCCAAGTAGGAGGGCACTTCAGCCTGGTTTGTCACCTCTCATGACTGACAGATGCCAAAAGCAGTGTTTATATATGCAAAAGAATGAGACATGCACATCTTTGCAGTAATGAATTATTCTTGTGCTTTTCTATCTCATACCCAGACTTTGGAACAACCAAGAATTAATCTGTTCCAGATTACTTGGGCAGAAGCACCCAAGGGTTTAGAAATGGGAACTTATATTTAGACTGAGCACTGGCAGCAGGTTCATGATTGAACTATATGTGCTACAAGTTAGTCTTCTTTAAAAAGTGTATATATATACCATTTTATGCCTGCTATAATTCTAACCAGTTGGAATTTTTAAATACTGCTGAGGATTTCCCAAAGGCCCTCATGTTATTCCACCATCAGTGCTCAAGTTATCTCAGTAACATTTCTTGATGTCTCTTCTGTGCCCAGGCCGTAGGTGGACATTGTTACATCTTTGGCCTCATCTTTCCTCATCACAATTGCCCGGATGAGAGAGCTGAGGCTTTATAAGCGTAGGCCCAGGTGCTTTCCAGCAGTCAGCACAGAGCTGGCTGAAACCGGGGTCTCTGACAGGGAGGCTCCTAGTGACACTACTGCTGCTTTGACTTCAGTCATGACCTGCAAACAGATGCTATCCCCTTAAAGTGCATTCATGTGTCAGCTTTTTATAATTGTAGAAAGAACATGTTTCCTTTAGGCGGCTGAGGGCAGCTAAGCTGAGCCATACCGTTTTCACTGCAGAATTCAAACTAAGTGGAAATCCTTATAGTCTTCATGTAGAATGTTTAACTCTTTAGCCAAATAGGTAATTTTGTCTAAAATTCAGTAAATCCTCAGATGGATTATTATCTTGTGGTAAATGATTTTGGGGTGAGGGGACGTTGAATCACGTCTCTGAAAGAATCTGGGGTTTTTAGTATGTATGATTCCATCTCATTTCCTTTAACTGAGCTCAAAGTTAGAAAAAAATATTGCCTAATTTATCACTTGGAGGAATTACTTTACTGTCATTCTCAGTCTGAACTATATCCCGTACACACAAGAAAATCAATGACCTTCTGCAATCTGTTTTCATCTCTTGTAAAGACCCTCTCTAGCTTGATTGTGGTGATCTCACGCCATCTGCTGGAGAGCAGAAAAATGACTGGCTTCTGTGTTGTCAGCTTCAGCCCCAGGAAATCAGCCCCCCTCCTACTGCCAACCTGGACCGGTCAAATGATAAGGTGTACGAGAATGTGACGGGCCTGGTGAAAGCTGTCATCGAGATGTCCAGTAAAATCCAGCCAGCCCCACCAGAGGAGTATGTCCCTATGGTGAAGGTAAAACACAGTCACATTGTGTACTGGCAAAAATGTTCTTGTTTCCTGGAAGCTGTGGTGCCAGCTGAATAGATGTCTCTAGGGACCCCCGCCCCACCAAAGTCAGAACGGATGCTTTAGAAGGTCTTCACGAAGGCTCCACACAGAGACAATGTCAGTGAGAACCGCAGTTATTCTGGAACGCTGTTCCTATCTTATTTTCGTCTGTCAGTAAACCCTAGGATGGGAGTGTCTTGAAGCAGTACACTCTTTTAATAATTATCGCTCACACATAAAGTCTGCAGTGAAAGAGAAAGCTGCAAAAGTATGCTTACAGTATGATGTCATTTATGTAAACTTGAAAAACATGCAAAATAATACTGTGTAAGACTTAGGGAGATGTGGTTACATTGTTAGAATGAAAGACAAGTAGAGGAATGATCATTATCAAATTCAGATCCCACACCTCTAAGGAGGAGCCAACTGAAGAAAGGTACATTGGGAGGATTTATCTGTGTTGTTCTTCTTAAGCTGAGGGTTGGGTATGTGGGTGTTCATTGAATTTTCTTTTAAAAAGAGTAAAAATAAATAAAAATACCATGCCAGTAAACTAATGTTTTCCAAATTGTGTTCAATGGAGTGGGATCCTAGGAGACAGTGACAGGTGTTCTGTGAAAAAGGCTGGGTGCAGTGGCTCATGCCCTTAATCCCAGCACTTTGGGAGGCTGAGGCAGGCAGATCACTTGAGGTCAGGAGTTCAAGACCAGCCTGGCCAACATGGTGAAACCCCATCTTTAAAAAAAAAAGAAAGAAAAAGGACAGTAGGTTCAAGGAAGGTCAGCAATGGCTCCTATTAAGGAGTACAGACTGGCATGTTGGGTGCACAGAGGTGTGTCCTCCAGTTCAGAGAGTGTGGTCAAACTTTGCTGTAAGCCAGTATTTCTGAAACATACTCGAACATACTTTTTTTTCATTGTAGTAAAATACACATAACATAAACTACCATCTTAACCATTTTTAAGTGTACATTTCAGAGGCATTAGGTACATTCACAATGTTGTGCCACCATCAGCACCATCCACTTCTATAACCCTTTCCTTGCAAAACTGAAACTCTGTACACTTGAAAGAACACTCCTCTTTTCCCTTCCCCAGCCCCTGGCAACCGCCATCCTACTTTCTGTCTCAATGAATTGACTACCCTAGGTACCGCTTATAAGTGGAATCATACTGTATTTGTCTTTTTGTGACTGATTTATTTCACTCAGCATAGTATCTCAGAGTTCTTCCGTGTTGTAGCATGTCTCAGAATTTTCTTCCTTTTTAAGGCAGAGTAATACTCCACTGTGTGTTCACACCACATGTGGTTTATTTACTCAGCCTCACAGGGTACTGGGGTTGCTTCCGCCTTTCAGTTGCCATGAAGAGTGCTGCTGTGAACATGGATGTACAAATATCTTTTTGAGACCCTGCTTTCACTTCTTTTGAGTGTATACTCAGAATTGCTGCATCACTGATAATTCTATTTGTAATTTTTTGAGGAGCCACCATTCTGTTTTTCACAGCAGCTGTACCATCTTACATTCCTACCAACAGTGCACAAGGGTTCCAGTTTCTCCATATTCTCACCAAAACTTGTTATTTTCTGGAAGGTTATTTTGAAGCTTGGTGTTTTGTGTGTGTGTTTTAAAAACTAATTGTCATCCTAATGGATGTGAAGTGTATTTAAGTGTGGCTTTGATTTGCATACAGGTCTTGAACATCTGTTTGCTTTTTGAGCATTTGTGTATCTTTTTCGGAAAAATGTCAAGTTTTTTCTTTTTTTGGCCTGTTTTTTAAATCATACTATATTTTGTTGTTGAGTTATAGAATCCTACAATTGTTGTTGTTGGGTTTTTTGTTTTGTTTGAGATGGAGTCTCATTCTGTCACCTAGGCTTCCAGGCTGGAGTGCAGTGGCACGATCTCGGTTCACTGCAACCCCTGCCTCCGAGGTTCAAGCGATTCTCCTGCCTCAGCCTCCTGAGTAGCTGGGACTACAGGCATGTGCCACCACACCTGGCTTATTTTTATATTTTTAGTAGAGACGGGATTTCACCCCGTTGGCCAAGCTGGTCTCAAACTCCGGACCTCAGGTGATCTGCCTGCCTTGGCCTCCCAAAGTGCTGGGATTACAGGCATGAGCCACTGTGCCTGGCCACTACAACTGTTTTTTAGTATACCTATTAGCAATCTTTGCAACAGCTTCTTATAAACCAGCAATATGGAAAAAGCTGCTTGAAAGTTGTAATGTTTCATGGAAAGCACAGTTAATCCATTCTGGTTCATTTTTCTGAAGTGTATCACATAATAGTTTTAACCAAAGTTCTTTGTTTTTGTTCTTTTTTTTTTTTTTTTTTTTTTGAGGCGGAGTCTTGCTCTGTCGCCCAGGCTGGAGTGCAGTGGCACTATCTCGGCTCACTGCAAGCTCCGCCTCCTGGGTTCACGCCATTCTCCTGCCTCAGCCTCCCGAGTAGCAGGGACTACAGGCGCCTGCCACCACGCCCGGCTAATTTTTTTGTATTTTTAGTAGAGATGGGGTTTCACCGTGTTAGCCAGGATGGTCTCGATCTCCTGACCTCGTGATCCACCCATCTCGGCCTCCCAAAGTGCTGGGATTACAGGCTTGAGCCACTGCGCCCGGCCTTTAACCAAAGTTCTTAAGGATGAACTTGCATGAACCCACAGCCAAGTTTAAACAACTCAACAGTAGATGAAACCATTCAGAATTTTGTACATTTTAAGATTTTATGTGGTGATTTTATTTTTTATTTATTTATTTATTTTTTTTTCTGAGACGGAGTCTCGCTCTGTCGCCCAGGCTGGAGTGCAGTGGCCAGATCTCAGCTCACTGCAAGCTCCGCCTCCCGGGTTTACGCCATTCTCCTGCCTCAGCCTCCCGAGTAGCTGGGACTACAGGCGCCCACCACCTCGCCCGGCTAGTTTTTTTGTGTTTTTTTAGTAGAGATGGGGTTTCACTGTATTAGCCAGGATAGTCTCAATCTCCTGACCTCGTGATCCGCCCGTCTCAGCCTCCCAAAGTGCTGGGATTACAGGCTTGAGCCACCGTGCCCGGCCTTTTATGGTGATTTTATAGACACTACTTTTTTAACCATATTCCTTCAGCCAAATGACATTCTTTTTGTATGTTGATCCAATTATAAGTAACTGTCATTTTCTTGCTGGTTTTATTCATATTACATGTAATTTGATGTCTCAGTCATTATATTATTTGATCCCCATAAGGATGACGGTAATGAAAATTTGGAGTTTAAAATTATTTGTTTTAAATCATAGTTAGACTGTTTTTGCTACATCTCGGAAGTGGCAGGGAGCAGTGTTTCTGCCCAGTGTACATAATAGATGAAGCCTGAGATTCAGAATGGGGTCCAAAGCAAGGCTGCCCCCTTGCATCCGGGGCAGTAGTGTCATCTCTTGCCAGCCTCATGAAGTGTTTGAATGTACCTGGGTGAGAACACATTCAGTGAACACACTTGGGGAAAAGTGTTACTATTTATCCTAACCTGTGTTGGCAGGGTTGGCATGTTGGAGCCAGGAGGGTGGTATAATCTGCTTGGAAGCAGTAGATGAGAAAAAAAAATCGTGCTTTCCACCCTCAGCATCTGTGTGACTTTTCTTACATGAACTGCTGTTCTTCAACCCACTCGTTAGCGTATTAGAGCAATGAATAGTCAGATCTAAATCTTTTGGGAGAAAAAGGAGCTTCATAACTTACAAGATAGGGCTCAGCACTGAGAAAAAGAAATACAGAAATTTGCCTTGAAACTTGTGGAAAGCAAATTAAAATATATATAACTGAAAGGCATAAAAATCCTTTGTGTGTGTTCTAATATTGGTTGTGATTCTTGTCTGTTAGGAAGTCGGCTTGGCCCTGAGGACGTTATTGGCCACTGTGGATGAGACCATTCCCCTCCTACCAGCCAGCACCCACCGAGAGGTAGGGCACAATCTTTCCCTTGCAGCCCTCTGTGACAGCACTGGGTAGGGACACATTCAGGGATGTCTGTGGTGCTGAAGGCAGCTCCTCAGTCTGTGGCCGACAAGAGACATCGACTGCCCTACAAGCGATGACCTTCCCTCTAACACTGGCCCCAGCCAGGACTGGGCTATTCATTCTAGGGCATAGGGGTGGTGTAGAGCAGTGGCCGCTCAAGTTCCAGATCCTGGGTCTTCCTGCTGCTAGTCCACTGCAGAGCCACTGTGCGCGGTCCTCACCCGAGATACAAGTGGCTCTGAGCAGTGGATGAGGAAGGCACATGGGAAACTGCTACTGGTGCCGTGAACCTCAGAGGTAGAGGAATGCTGATATGAATGGGGCGGGTATTGTGCATGGTCTCCCTCCTCGAATTCTCCGTAAAAATAGTTGAGCTTGCAAATGATCCTGGTTTTCCATTTCAAGTAGTAATATAAAAAATTTATTTTAGGCCAGGCATGGTAACTCACGCCTGTAATCCCAGCACTTTGGAAGGCCAAGGCAGGAGGATGGCTTGAGGCCTGGATTTCAAGACAACATAGTGAGACCCTATCTCTACCAAAAAATTAATAAATAAAATTATTGTCTTAAAAAATTCCAAGCCAGGCTCGGTGGCTCACGCCTATAATCTCAGCACTTTGGGAGGCTGAGGCAGGCAAATCACGAAGTCAAGAGATCGAGACCATTCTGGCCAACATGATGAAACTCCATCTCTACTAAAAATACAAAAGGTAGCTGGGCATGGTGGCACACACCTATAGTCCCAGCTACTCTGGAGGCTGAGACAGGAGAATCACTTGAACCTGGGAGGCAGAGGTTGCAGTGAGCCACGATCGTGCCACTGCACTCCAGCCTGGCAACAGAGTGAGATTCCATCTGACAAAAAAAAAAAAAAAAAAAAAAAAAAAAACCTTTTAAATTAATAAATGTCTTTAAGAAGCTTCTTAAGGCCTGAGTGTGGTGGCTCACCCCTATAATCCCAACACTTTGGGTGGCCAAGACAAGAGGATGGCTGAAAGCCAGTTTATGACCAGCCTGGGCAACAAAGTGAGACTGTCTCTACAAAAAATTTTTTAAAATTAGCTCTGTGCAGTAACTACTCAGGAGGCTGAAGCGGGATGATCGCTTGAGCCCAGGAGTTTCAGACTGCAGTGAGCTAGGATCAAGCCATCATACTCCATCCAGGGTGACAGAATAAAACCCTGTCTCAAAAGCCTGGTGCGGTGGCTCAAGCCTGTAATCCCAGCACTTTGGGAGGCCGAGGCGGGCGGATCACGAGGTCAGGAGATCGAGACCATCCTGGCTAACACGGTGAAACCCCGTCTCTACTAAAAAATACAAAAAACTAGCCGGGCGAGGTGGCGGGCGCCTGTAGTCCCAGCTACTCAGGAGGCTGAGGCAGGAGAATGACGGGAACCCGGGAGGCGGAGCTTGCAGTGAGCTGAGATCCGGCCACTGCACTCCAGCCTGGGCGACAGAGTGAGACTCCGTCTAAAAAAAAAAAAAAAAAAAGAAAATGTTTTAAGGAATAAAAGTTGATCCAAAATACCGTAGCCCAGCAACAATTATCATTTTTGCTACCTTTTGGCAATTTTGTTTCAATTATATGACTAACAAATGAAAGGAAGCACCTGCATTTGTTGTAGTGTCTTTGAGCCTAGGGTGTACACTCTGTGGTTGGGATTGACAAACGCAGGTGGGATGCATCCCCACTACAGAGTCCAGGATTTGCAGGCTTCAGCCTTGCTTCCTGCTGACTCCAGCTGGGTGGGTGAGGCTCCAGTGAGCTGTGCTCACCACTGCACTCCAGCCTGGGTGGCAGAGTGAGATGCTGTCTCTTTAAAAAAGTAAAATAAAAAATACTACTTGTTTTGGCAGCACATATACTAAAATTGGAACTATACAGAGATGATTAGCTTTAAAAAAATTTTTAAAGCCTGGGTGTGGTGACTCATGCCTATAATGTCAGCACTTTGGGAGGCCAAGGCAGGTGGATCACCTGAGGTCCCCACTTATCCTGTGCCTCTTTCTGTGCCACTGCTGGAAGGCAGTCAGCTTGCACAGTGGTAAGGATCTGTTGGTAAGGGTTATAGATTTTACATGTTTACTTAAATCTGCTTTGAATTGTAAGGGGTCATCTTTAAGTTAGGGACATCTTTAACAGTAACTTTTGCCCCTGCCTGTGACCAGGGATTACACACTACAGCTACTGTGCACCAAGAATTCAATACTAGTTCAGACCAGGCACAGTGGCTACACGTGTAATCCCAACACCTTGGGAGACCGAGGTGGGCAAATCACCTGAGATCGGGAGCTCAAGAACAGCCTGACCAACATGGTGAAATCCCGTCTCTACTAAAAATACAAAAATTAGCCAGGCAGGGTGGCAGGTGCCTCTAGTCCCAGCTACTCTAAAAAAGAAAAGAAAAAGAAAAAAAAAAAGATCACTGAAACAGTTCTCTGAACTATCTCTTGTCTTTCAGATTGAGATGGCACAGAAACTATTGAACTCTGACCTGGGTGAGCTCATCAACAAGATGAAACTGGCCCAGCAGTATGTCATGACAGTCTCAGCAAGGTACAAAAACAAATGCTGACTGCTGCTCATGCCTGGCTGTGGATGCCAAACTTGCTCGATGTCATTGACCAAGCAAGACTGAAAATGCTTGGGCAGACGAGACCACACTGAGCCTCCCCTGGGAGCAAGTCTTACTACCCTCTTTTGAAGATGTTCTCTAGCCTTCCCACCAGCAGCGAGGAATTAACCCTCTGTCTCGGTCGCCAGCATAACAGCTCAACTTTTTGAATGACCATCTGGTTGAAAATCTTTCTCATATAAGTTTAGTCACACTTTGGTTGGGTTCATTTTTGTTTTGTTTTTTCAATCATATTCAGAAATGTCCAGGATCAAAATGTGGCATTTTTCTGGAATGAAAAATTGTACATGAGCTTTTAAGCATCATGAAGAACAGTTTATGTTCACATTAAGATACGTTCTAATGGGGATGGCCAGGGGGTGACATCTTAATTCCTAAACTACCTTAGCTGCATAGTGGAAGAGGAGAGCATGAAGCAAAGAATTCCGGGAATCCCAAGAGGCTGAGAATTCTTTTGTCTACCATAGAATTATTATCCAGACTGGAATTTTTGTTTGTTAGAACACCCTTCAGTTGCAATAATACTAATCCACTTTACAAAGAAAAAGAATATAAAAGCTATATTTTGAAGACTTGAGTTATTTCAGAAAAAACTACAGCCCTTTTTGTCTTACCTGCCTTTTACTTTCGTGTGGATATGTGAAGCATTGGGTCGGGAACTAGCTGTAAAGACACAACTAAAAACTCTTGTCTTTTTCACAGAATAATGTGCCAGTTTTTGTAGCAATGTTATTTCTCTTGGAAGCAGAAATGCTTTGTACAGGAAACACCTCAAACTGCATTGAGGAGAAGTTCCAGAACCATCCCCTTTTTCCATTTTTATATAATTTATAAAGAAAGATTAAAGCCATGTTGACTATTTTACAGCCACTGGAGTTAACTAACCCTTCCTTGTATCTGTCTTCCCAGGAGAGAATGAAGCAAAACAGGAATTTGGTTTCTTTTTTGATGTCCAGTTACACCATCCATTCTGTTAATTTTGAAAAAATATACCCTCCTTTAGTTTGTTGGGGGATATAAATTATTCTCAGGAAGAATATAATGAACTGTACAGTTACTTTGACCTATTAAAAGAGTGTTACCAGTAAAGTTCTTGTTGTAATATCCTTTCTTTTGGTTCTATTTCTTCAGATGGCTTTATTTTCAGGTGACTAGTCAGATAAGATAACATGCACAAAGCTCCCAATAATTATCAGGAAGCCTCTCACTAATTAGTTTCCCCTTTTTTTTTTTTTGTTTAATATTCTAAACAAGTCAAAGATGTTACCACAGAAGGGTAGCCCCAGCATGATTAACCTTTTTCAATTCCATTGTCACCTATTAAATGCAAAGCTCCAGGATGGAAGTAGCAATGGTCTTCAATGAAAAGAACCTTCTCCTTTGCAAGGGTCTCAGTATTCCATAACTCGGGACTCAAGCATGTGAATTCACTTGTCAAGGAAATTTGGCACCTAGTCTTGGTAGAATCTCAAGTGAGCCACAGAGCAGAGGCAAATAGAACTGGGATCTCAGTACTAGGGACTCAGAGACTCCCAAAGGGGAGGGATTTGAGAGAATTTTGTCTGAGTAAATACTCTTGGGTGCAAAAGCAGCTTCATCTTTGGATCTGTGACAGTTACTTCATCTGAAGCAAATGTCAAGGGAATGTCATCCTTGTGAGTTTTTTCTAATTTTTGGCATTCTTGGGTCTCTTACATTTCCATTTCCTCATGTTTAAAGTGGTGATTATGAGAGTGAGCTAAGTCCAGTGTAAATGGTAAAGTGCTCTACATACCTTGTCAGGGACATCGATGTTGGACCTGTGCAGTCTACTCTCAGAGGTTTAGGAGCATCTGTGGCCTTCACCCGCTAGAAACCAGTAGCACTCCCCGCAAGCCATGACAACCAAACTGTCCGCAGACATTGCCAAAGGTTCCCAGGGGGAAGGAGGACAGAACCACCCCAAGTTGAGAACCACTGTTTCAGATAAGAGTTTACCTGCAGTTAATACATTAATACATTTTGCCTCATGGTCTCACTTAGGAACACCTAGAATTGTCGGTAAGTTTCACATCTTCCTATAAACCAAAAGAAAATTTTTGGTTTTAGAGCAGGTGGAGAGATCAACACATCTCTCCATATCTCTCAACATCAGCGCATGGGCCAGAGGTCAGAGGTCAAGCACAGCCACCAGAGTTGAGCAGAGGCAGTTCACATCCTGTGAACTTAGTGGCCTGAAGGGCTATCAGGACCATGAGGTGACTTCCATTACAAAACAAAATGGAGAATTTCAAATATAAAGACCCAGAGAAAAGTTCGTTTGAAAGTAAAAGTGTTCAAATTACTCAGCTTCATTATACTACCTCAATAACAGCTGCCTAATGAGACAAACCATACATGTAGCACCTGAAAACCTGTCCAAGTTAGCTGGGAGAAGTGTTCACAATCTCATAATTTTTCTCCAATTTTTTTTATTTTACATTATTAATAAGTAGATAGAGAAAAGGGTGCATAAATGTAGAGCTTACTGAACTTTTCCCAAGCAGGTGCCCTCTTGTAACTACCATGGGGTCGAGAATAGTAACATCACCGGAGGTCCTGGGGCTCCCTCCCCGCACTGCTTCCCTAGAAGGGGCAATCACCACCCTGCTTTTCTTTTATCAACTTGAGTAGGATTTAACTTGCATACAATAAGAGCCATTGAATAAACAGCTCGAATTTTTTCAAATGTATACGTCCAGTTAGTGATGCAGCAAGTGAGGAAGATGAGAAAGAGCCAGCACTTGGGAAGTACCCTCATGCCTCTGGAGGGCAGGTCCCTATTTCTTCTTTGTAACCTCTGGTCTGGTCTCCATCGCTAGAAATGGCTTCTTACACTTCAGATTGCTTCTAGAACTACACCATATATACTCTAATTTCTGGCTGCTTTCCTACAGTGATGTTTTGCATATCCATGTTGTGTGTATCTGAAGTTCATTCTTTTTTATTTCTGATAATACTCCATAGTAGAATATATTGCTGCCTATTTCCCTGTTCACCTGTTGATAACTCAGACTCAAAGCATAACTGACTTGTCAAGGAAATTGTTATAGCATCTCCCAGGCCCACCCTAGGCTTGCTAGAATCTCCGTGAGCCACCTGTTGATGAAGAGACATTTGGGTGGTTTTTTCAGTTTCTACTGGCTATTAGAAATAAAACTGGGGAATGGGTGTTTCCATTCCTCCTGGGCAAGTAAACTATGAAGGGAAAGTTCTGGAACATCGGTAAGTGTATGCTTAACTTTATTAAAAACTGCCAAACTGGTTCAGTGACTTTATACCATATTCATGGATGGACATTCCAGTTGCTCCACATTGTCACCAATGCTTGGTAGTGTCAGTTGTTTTTATCCTCCATATCTGATGAAGTTGAGTGGTTTTTCACCCCGTACTTAACCATTTATGTTTTGTGAAACCCATCACTGCTCCAGATACTTGACGTTTAAAACTGGACTGTTCATCATGTTGCTGTGGAGTAATGGGTGTTCCTTATACACTCTGGATACTGGTCTTTGGTCAAATACTTGTTTTCTAGGTATTTTCTCTCACCTGGAGCTTGACTATTCATTTTCTTAACTGTACCTCCCCTGTATTTTTATCTGAAAAATTGGCAGAGGGTTGTTATGATTGGGATTTCATTGAGTTTGCCGTTAGTTTGGGGAGTATAGATGTATTAGAAATTGAGTCTTCAGAAACATGACTTCTTTTTAAAAAGAAGATCTTGGCCAATCATGATGTCCACACTATAATCCCAGTACTTTGGGAAACCAAGGCGGGCAGATCACCTGAGGTCAGGTCAGGAGTTTGAGACCAGCCTGGCCAACATAGTGAAACCCCATCTTTACTAAAAATACAAAAATTAACTGGGTGTGATGGCATATGCGTGTAGTCCCAGCTAGTCAGGAGACTGAGGCAGGAGAATCGCTTGAACCCAGGAGGTGGAGGTTGCAATGAGCCAAGATAAGGCCACTGCACTCCAGCCTGGGTGACAGAAACAGAACTCCATCTCAGTAATAATAAATAAGATCTTTAGCCAGGTGTGGTGGTGTGCACCTGTAGTCCCAGCTACTGTGGAGGCTGAAGTGGGAGGATCACTTGAGCCCAGGTGGTTGAGGCTCCAGTGAGCTGTGCTCACCACTGCACTCAACCTGGGTAGCAGAGTGAGATGCTGTCTCTTTAAAAAGTAAAATAAAAAATACTACTTGTTTGTAGCACATATGCTAAAATTGGAACTATGACAGAGATGATTAGCTTAAAAAAATTTTTTAAAGCCTGGGTGTGGTGACTCACGCCTGTAATGTCAGCACTTTGGGAGGCCAAGGCAGCTGGATCACCTGGGGTCCCACTTATCCTGTGCCTCTTTCTGTGCCACTGCTGGAAGGCAGTCAGCTTGCACAGTGGTAAGGATCTGTTGGTAGGGGGTTATAGATTTTTACATGTTTACTTAAATCTGCTTTGAATTGTAAGGGGTCATCTTTAAGTTAGGGACATCTTTAACAGTAACTTTTGCCCCTGCCTGTGACCAGGGATTACACACTACAGCTACTGTACCAAGGAATTCCAATACTAGTTCAGACCAGGCACAGTGGCTACACGTGTAATCCCAACACCTTGGGAGACCGAGGTGGGCAAATCACCTGAGATCGGGAGCTCAGAACAGCTGACCAACATGGTGAAATCCGTCTCTACTAAAAATACAAAAATTAGCCAGGCAGAAAAATTAGCCAGGCAGGGTGGCAGGTGCCTCTAGTCCCAGCTACTCGGGAGGCTGAGGCAGGAGAATCGCTTGAACCTGATAGGTGGAGGTGGCAGTAAGAAAAGATCATGCCACTGCACTCCAGCCTGGGCAACAGAGCGAGACTCTGCCTCAAAAAAAAAAAAAAAAAAAAAAAAAACCCCCAGGTGTGATGGTGTGTGCCTGTGGTCCCAGCTATGTGGGAGGCTGCAGTGGGAGGATCACTTGAGCCCCAGGGGTGGAGGCTGCAGTGAGCCATGATTGTGCCATTGCACTTCAGCCTAGGTGACAGAGCAAGACCCTGTCTCAAAACAAAAAACAACCACGGTTTATTATATACAGGGTCATACAGTACAGCTAACGATGCACTACAGATTGTACACCAGCTAACTGCACCAGAGTTTGAGTATTACAGTTTATTATATACTGGGGTTATACATTGCAACTGACTAGGTACCATGGGTTGTGCGCTACAAAGTAGGAGTCAAAGGGTGGAGACCGTTCTAGCCTATTAAGGTCAAAGTTCCAGAACAAAATGAGACGCTATAGGTACTGCCTGAGGCCTGGAAGGAAGTGTGGATTTGGCCATAGTAGGAGTGGAGATGGGCTGAGGTTGAGATGAGAAGAGTCGGGCAGGTTATGGGAAGACCCATGCTTGGTGTTTTTGTGGTCCACTGAAGTATACAGGACGCTGTCAGCAGCAGCCTCTGGTTCAACTCATACCACCTGAGTGATACGAGGCTTATCCCTGGTTCACAGGTGAAGAAACAGTTACACAGTAATCTGACAGCCACGTGGTTAGTAGGTGCCAGAACTGGGTTGGAAGCTGGGTCTGCCTCACGTTTAGGACTGTAACAACCACTAGGCTTAATGCCTCTCCCAAATTCTCCCCAGGGATGAAGACCGCACAGATTACATTTTGAAATTATCTGATACCTGACAATATCAGAATTGCCATATTTGTTTGGATTTCCCATCCACACAACCCAGTAAAATCAAAGCTGAATGCCAAAGTAAAAAGGCATTGGTGATGTGCCCCGAAGGTCTTTCGTCCAGAAGGTCTAACCCTTTGCAGATGACTGTACACGCTGGAATGACCAGCCCAGAGGGCTCTGATCTCCACCTAAAGTGACACATCCTCTGTCCTTTAGTTGTCCCTCATGTTCTCTCTCAATGACAACGGCTAACACTGAGTTCACATGTGCCAGGCACTGTCCTCAGTTCTCACAGTGACCCTCTAAGGCAGGAGGGCTTAATCTCTTCACTTGGAAATGGGGGTTTGGGAGTTTAAATTCTTAGGTCACCTTGGCGCTGGAACCCAGCCCCTAGGTGTCCTGGCTTTCAGGCTTTTACCAGGTTCAGCAATGACCAGGTGTAGCAGTAATGAGGAGGGCTGTGTGTTGTTTAAAACTTTTGAATCATGCCTGGCTTTAATTTGTTATCTTTCTGCAAACAAACAGACTGGGCATAGTGGCTGACACCTGTAATCCCAGCTACTCGAGAGGCTGAGGCAGAAGGATCACTTCAGGCCAGGAGTTTGAGACCAGCCTGGACAACATAGCAAGACCTTGTTCCTACTAAAAACTGAAAAATTGGCCGGGCACCATGGCTCATGCCTGTAATCCCAGCACTTTGGGAGGCTGGGGCAGGCAGATCACGAGATCAGGAGTTTGAGACCGGTCAGTATGGTGAAACCTCATCTCTACTAAAAATACAAAAATTAGCTGGGTGTGGTGGTGCGTGCCTGTAGTCCCAGCTACTCGGGAGGCTGAAGCAGGGAAATCTCTTGAACCCTGGAGGCGGAGGTTGCAGTGAGCCAAGATTGTGCCACTGTACTCCAGCGTGAGCGACAGAACAAGACTCCATCTGAAAAAAAAAAAACTAAAAAATTAAGTGGGCATGGTGGTGCATGTCTGTAGTCCCAGTTACTCAGGAGGCTGAGGCAGGAGGATTGCTTGAGCCCAGGAGTTCAGGTTTACAGTGAGCTATGATCACCCACTGCAGTCCAGCCTGGGTGACAGAACAAGACCCTGTCTCTTTAAAAATTATAATATTTGAAATGTAACTGGAGTGTTATCTCGGACTATCATTTTCAAGATCTACTGGATAAAACCCAGATAAAGCTTCTGTCCAACATCATACTGGGTGGGCACTGATTAATGAAGTAATTAAAACTGATTTTATTAAATCATTTTAATATGCCGTATTAAAATGCTGTAACTTTGGTCAATCCTCATCTTATTTCATCTTATCAAATGCTTCATATTTTCTACTCCTAACAGCAAAAAGTAAAAATGATATGTGAGCTTCCAGAGTGATTGTGGTGTGTATATATATGTGTGTGTGTATGTTTATCTATACACACAAACATATATATACTTTTTCTTTAAAAAAAACACAGTGAGGCCCTCCTTTGCAGAGTGATTGTTTTTTAAGCAGTGTGTGACTTGGTTTCTTTACATTCATAAGAAAATCTGGTCATGATATTTAACAGCATGGATGGAGTTACTTCTGATTTTTATATTTGATTTTCATTTAATAAATCCCCAAAGCCAAAAAAAAATCATTATACATGTTCACACACATTTACCAAATGAATATCATGCTTTCTAGCATACTCCTTACTTCGTAACTTTCTACTCTAAGCACACATTATATTGTATTATTATAAATTATGTTAAAGTGGATACAGTATGATTTATTTTCTTGCTCTTGTAACATGGTAAAATAGATACATTAATTATATATCATTTTAATCCTTACTTGACTGTATTTAGCAGTCTATCTTACAAATACATTTTGTATTTCTCCGTGGCTTCTATAATAATCCTGGATATGTGTATTAGCACATTTATTTGAATTGAAAAATGAAGTCCCGTAACAGAAAGTGAGTCTATCTGGCTTTCTTGTTTGACAAGGGGGACGGGCTCTGCAAATCAGATATCAGATGCCATATTTTTCCATAAATTGAATAAGCTAAATCTACAGTTATAACTTTGACAAAAATGTATTAATATTTAAAGAAGTAATATAACTTTTACTTAAAAAACATTTTATTGCAACTGGGCAAGGTGGCTCAACCCTGTAATCCCAGCACTTTGGGAGGCTGAGGCGGGCAGATCACCTGAGGTCAGGAGTTCAAGACCAGCCTGGCCAACATGGCGAAATCCTGTCTCTACTAAAAATACAAAAGTTAGTCGGGTGTGGTGGCGGGCGCCTGTAGTCCCAGCTATTCCAAAGGCTGAGGCAGGAGAATTGCTTGAACCCGGGAGGTGGAGGGCAGTGAGCGGAGATTGTACCACTGCACTCCAGCCTAGAGCAAAAAACAAAAATAAACAAAAACATTTTGGCCAGGCGCGGTGGCTCACACCTGTAATCCCAGCACTTCGGGAGGCCGAGGCGGGTGGATCACAAGGTTAGGAGTTCAACACCAGCCTAGCCAAGATGGTGAAACCTTGTCTCTACTAAAAATACAAATATTAGCCAGGTGTGCAGTGACAGGCGCCTGTAATCCCAGCTACTCGAGAGGCTGAGGCAAGAGAATCGCTTGAACCCAGGGTGGGGGTGGAAGGTGCAGTGAGCCAAGATCATGGCACTACACTCCAGCCTGGGTGACAGAGTGAGACTCTGTTTCAAAAAATATATATATTTATTGGCAAAGACATAAATGATTTCACAATATTTTTATGTTCCTCACACCTTACTGAACATATTAGGTTAAACTTGATCCTTTTAAATTAATATTAGATATCAGCCTCAGAAAATTCTTTTTGTTTTCATTGAGGTAAATGTACATACAGTGAAATGCACAGTTTAATGAATTTTGACAAATGCATACACCTGTGTAACCATCACTCAAATTGAGACACAGAACATACTCATGGAGAGTTCCCAGCCCACAGGCAAACACCGTTCTGATTTCCAACAACATAGATTAGTTTTTGCCTGTTCTTGAATTCACATCAATTGAACATACAGTGTGTGCTTTTTTGTGTCTGGATTCATTCACTTAACACAATGTTTTTGGGATGCATCCATGTGGTGTTTTTTGTTTTTGAGACAGTGTCTCACTCTGTAGCCCAGGCTGGAGTATAGTGGCGCAATCTCAGCTCACTGCAACCTCTGCCTCTTGGGTTCAAGTGATTCTCCTGCCTCAGCCTCCCGAGTAGCTGGGATTACAGGTGCCTGCCACTGCACCTGGCTATTTTGGGGAGTTTTAGAGAAAGGGTTTCATCATGTTGGCCAGGCTGGTCTTGAACTCCTGACCTTGTGATCCACCCGCCTCAGCCTCCCAAAGTGCTGGGATTACAGGCATGAAACCACGCCTGGCGTATAATTTTATTTTTAATTGCCGAATAGTATTCTATCGTGTACATAGACTACAGTTGGTTTACCATTCTCCTATTGATAGACATCTGATTGTTTCCAGTTCGGAGCTGAATGAATAAAGTGGCTGTAAACATTTGTGTACAAGTCTTTTTGGGTAGGTATGTTTTTATTTCTTTTCCTTTTTTTTTTTTTTTTTTTTTTTTGAGACAGGGTCTCACCCTGTCACCCAGGCTAGAGTGCAATGGCATGATCCGAGCTCACTGCAGCTAGGCATCCTCTTGTCTCAGCCCATAAAATGGCGGGATTACAGGGATGACCCACTACAACTGGCCAACTGTTTGCTTTTGTGAAGGTCTGTTCAAATTTTTTGCCTATTTTTAAAAACTATTTATTTATTGAGATAGGGTCTCAGTCTGTTGCCCAGGCTGGAGTGCAGTGGCTCAGTCATGGCTCACTGCAGCCTCCACTTCCTGGGCTCAGGTGATCCTCCCACCTCAGCCTCCCCAGTAGCTGGGACTGCAGGCATGCACCACCACATCCGGCTAATTTTTGTATTTTTTGTAGAGATGCAGTTTTGCCATGTCACCCAGGCTGTTACCCATTTGTAAAAAATTGTTTTATTTATTTATTTTACAGTGAGTCTCACTGTGTTGTCCAGGCTGGTCTTGAACTGTTGATCTCAAACAATCCTCTTACTTCAGCCTTCCAAGTAGCTGGGATTATAGGCGTGAACCACTCCACGTGGCCTTTTGCTGGTTTTTAAAAATCAAGTTGTTTATTATTGATTTGTAGTCATTCTTTATATATTCTGGATATAAGTCCTTTGTTAGCTATATGTATTGCAAATATTCACTCTCAGTCCATGGCTTGTCTTTTTCTTTTCTTAACAGTATATTTTGATGAGCAATAGTTCTTAATTTGAATGAAGTTCAAATTAACACTTTTTCAACTACTTAGTGCTTTTTGCATCTTCTCTAAGACATCTTTGCCTGCCCCAAGGTTGCACGATATTTACCATATTTTCCTCTAAAAGCTATCTCACTGCAACTTAGACCTCCCAAGTCCAAGCGATCCTCCTACCTCAGCTTCCCAAGTAACTGGGACTTTTCCCCTTTTTTTTTCTTCTTGAGACAGGGTCTCACTCTGTCACCCAGGCTGGAGTGCAGTAGCATAATCAGAGCTCACTGCAGCCATGAACTACTAGGATCTAGGTGTATGCCACCAAGCCCATCTAATTTATATATTTTTTATAGAGACGGGGTTTCGCCACGTTGCCAGGCTGGTCTTGAACTCCTGGGCTCAAGCAGTCCTCCTGCCTGGGCCTCCCAAAGTGCTGGGATTACAGGCATAAGCCACTGTGCCCCACCATATTAGTTTTATATTCAGGTCTATGATTTGTCTTGAATTAGTGTGAGGGATGTGAGGTGGATGTTGAAGTTCATTATTTTCCATATGGAAATCCAATTATTCCAGCACCATTTGTTGAAAGAAATATTTCTCCATTGTCTTGCCTTGGTACCTTGGTCAAAAACCTATTGGCCATTTATGTGTGGATTTATTTTTAGACTTGCTATTCTGTTCCACTGTTCTCCTCTGTTCTTAGGTCTATACCACATTGTCTTGATTACTGTAGCTTTATAACGACTCTTGAAATCAAGTGTAGTCAGTCTTTAAATTGGCTATTGCAAGTCATCCAATTTTGTTCTTTTTCTCCAAGATACTTTATTTTTGGCTCTTCTAACTCACTTGCAGTTATATTTACATTTTGGCACCAATTTGTCAACTTCTATGTTTTAAAAGGCCCTTGGGATTTTGACTCAGTTAGCTTTCACTGTGGAACAGCACACGTTCACCTCGAGACACCTCTGTGCATTAGCTGGCGGTTGCGTGATGCAGCTGCATGTGGCTGGGGGGCTCTGCCTCCAGATGGACCTGGCTTCACATTCTCTCGGCGACCAGGCTGAGGAAGATGCAGGGAGGAAGGTTTCTCTAGGCCCCCTAGCTGGGACCAACCCCGCAGCCAGACGGGGCAACTGCATGTAAGCCTCTCAGGGCAGGACTGCTGACATCCTGTCCACCGCTGGTAGTCACATGGTTGAGCTCAGCGCCACTGGGCTGAGGAATCAACTGTAAAGGCAAGGGAGCGATGACTTTTGGACAGTAATCTCATCTATCACACCTTTCTGCAGACACCCAGACTCAATTCGGGTCACAAAAGATCCTTTTTTTTCTCTCTCTCTCTTCTTTTTTTTTTTTTTTTTTTTTTTTTTTTTGAGACGGAGTCTTGCTCTGTAGCCCAGGCTGGAGTGCAGTGGCTGGATCTCAGCTCACTGCAAGCTCCGCTTCCCGGGTTCCCGCCATTCTCCTGCCTCAGCCTCCCGAGTAGCTGGGATTACAGGCGCCGCCACCTCGCCCGGCTAGTTTTTTTGTATTTTTTTTTTTTTTTAGTAGAGACGGGATTTCACCGTGTTAGCCAGGATGGTCTCGATCTCCTGACCTCGTGATCCGCCCGTCTCGGCCTCCCAAAGTGCTGGGATTACAGGCTTGAGCCACCGCGCCTGGCCTCTTTTTCTCTTATTTGAGACAGAGTCTCGCTCTGTCACCCAGGCTGGAGTGCAGTGGCGCGATCTCGGCTCACTGCAAGCTCCGCCTCCCGGGTTTACACCACTCTCCTGCCTCAGCCTCCCGAGTAGCTGGGACTACAGGCGCCCCCACCACGCCCGGCTAATTTTTTGTGTTTCCGGTAGAGATGGGGTTTCACCGTGTTAGCCAGGCTTGTCTCGAACTCCTGACCTCAGGTGATCCACCCGCCTCGGCCTCCCAAAGTGCTGGGATTACAGGCATGAGCCACCGTGCCTGGCCACAAAAGATCCTTTTGAAAGCCAGGTGACTTCAGTTGTAGCTTCCATCACCCTGAGGCAGGACGACTAAGTGGCCAGCTGTGGGTCCTCACCCAGAACTGTCGGTAGGAGAGCACCATGCTAGTTCTGGAGGATAGCCTGGGAGGGGTCAGAGCACTGAGTCACTGTAACAGAATTTCCTTCCATTCTCACCCATGCTTCCTGGGACCGCAGCTGTAAGCACTGACATTCACAAACATGGGGGATGGAAAAGAATTGTTGAAGAGCTCTGAGTCCAGCAACGGGCCATCCGGTTCTTCCTGAACCTGGGAATGAAAAAAAGAAAGGTTCACTATTTTCCTTAAGAGATTATTTCCAACAAAAATGTATACCTAACGAGGGACACTTTCATGACTAAGATTATTCAAACTTTGTAATACATTTGTGTTTGATTAGTTGTATTCTGACAATTGTAATAAGTAAACCCAGAAGAATTTTTTCTAACACTTGGTCTCACAGGAAATAAAAATGTAAGATTTCAATTTATATATACTTTTTCTTGTAGACAAGTATATAGCATAATAAGATTTTCAAACATAAAAGAATTTCCTTAGGATAAAAATATGTGGAAGAATTAAAATGGAAAATGGGTTCTGTGAGGAAAAGAGCAATGTGAAATATTAAAGAAGAGGTGGCTCCGGTACAGTCCTCCATGCCCTCAGTCAACCAACTGTGGATGGAAAATGTAGTCAGGCCTATGATGGTTATCTCTGTACTGAAGGTGTACACACATTTTTCTTGTCATTATTCTCTAAACAATACAGTATAATTATTTACTACATGGCATTTCACATTGTTTTAGGTATTAGAAGTAATCTAGGCCGGGCACGGTGGCTCACGCCTGTAATCCTAGCACTTTGGGAGACTGAGGCGGGCAGCCTCAGGTCAAGAGGTCAAGAGCTTGAGACCACCCTGGCCAACATGGTGAAACTCCATCTCTACTAAAAATACCAAAATTAGCCAAGCATGTGGTGGGCGCCTGTAATCACAGCTACTCAGGAGGCTGAGGCAGGAGAATCGCTTGAACCCAGGAGGCTGAGGTTGCAGTGAGCCGAGATCGCACCACTGCCCTCCAGCCTGACAATACAGCGGCACTCCGTCTCAAACAAACAAAAAGTAATCTAGAGATTATTTAAAGCACGTGGGAGGATGTAGGCTATATGCAAATACTGCACCATTTTACATCAGGGACTTGAGCTGTGCATTTCGGTATCCACTGGTGGTCCTGGAACCAATCCCCCACAAATACAGAGGGACAACTACACTGTTTTGACTGGATTATATAAGATATCAAATCGATATGGTATTTTTCTTTTCCATCTGGTTACATTTTTTAAAGTGATATGACAGTTTTATTTTTAAGTGTCAATATTTACAATGTTCCAGAAGTTGTATTCTTTGTAACTATTTAAACGTACATAATATTTTAGGTGTCAACTTAATATGTAAGGGGGGTAAAAAAACATTTAAAATGACATTTGGGGGTATGTAAACAAAACTGAAGACTGCCGATGCCGAGTGCATTCAGTGTACGGTGGAGTCAGAAGAAACCCAGAGACTGGCTACAGACTCCCTGCTGTGATCATGCCACTGTACATGTTGGGACCAAGCTACTGGGTTCCAGCTTGGCTGTGGGATCCCTCTGCCTCAGTTTATCATCAGAGGATGAGGGTAAGTGTTCTGAGGCTCGAATGAGTAAATACTCATGCAGTGCCTCGAACAGGTACTTGGGCCAGAAAAGCGCCCTGTGCCAGTGTCTGCCTTTTGATGGAAATGCATCTCTTAGGAGGCGGTGCAGGAGCCCATGGGCTGTTAGGTCATCTTCCCATGGCCCCGTGCCGAGTTCTGCTTCTTCAAGAAACACAGAACAAGACTCTTCCCTTCTCTATATGTGAGCCCAATAAGAGTATATTAGTCCACTTTGGGCTGCTATAACAAAATATCATAGACTGGGCGGCTTATGACCAACAGAAATGTATTTCTCATAGTTCTGGAGTCTGCAAAGTCCAAGATCAAGGCACCAGTAGATTCAGGGTCTGCTGAGGGCCTTCTTCCTGGTCCATAGATGACAGCTTCTCCCTGTATCCTCATGCGGTAGAAGGGGCAAGGCAGTTACCTGAGACCTCTTTTTTTATTTTTATTCTTTTTAGAAATGGAGTCTTGTACTGTCACCCAGGCTGGAGTACAGTGGTGTGATACATCTTATTATAACCTTGAACTCCTGGGCTCAAGAGATCCTCCCACCTCAGCATCCCAAGTAGCTGGAACCACAGGTGCGCACCACTGCAATGGGCTTTTTTCCCCTCCCCGCCCAAGACAGAGTCTCACTCTGTCACCCAGGCTGGCGTGCAATGGGGCAATCTTGGCTCACTGCAACCTCTGCCTCCTGGGTTCAAGCGATTCTCCTGCCTCAACCTCCCAAGTAGCTGGGATTACAAGCCCACACCAACATACTGGGCTAATTTTTGTATTTTTAGTAGAAACGGGCTTTTACCACGTTGGCCAGGCTGGTCTCAGGTGATCCACCTGCCTCAGCCTCCCAAAGTGCTGGGATTACCAGGCATGGGTCACCATGCCCCGCCGGCTAATTTTTTTTTTCAAGACAGTTTTGGCTGTGCATAGTGGCTCATGTCTGTAATCTCAGCACTTGGGAGGCCGAGGCTGGTGGATCACTGGAGGCCAGGAGTTTGAGACCAACCTAGGCAACATAGCAAAAACCCATCTCTACTAAAAATACAAAAATTAGTCAGGTGTGTTGGTGCGCTCAGCTACTCAGGAGGCTGAAACATGAGAATACAATTGCTTGAACCCAGGAGGTGGAGGCTGCAGTGAGCTGAGATCGCACCACTGTGCTCCAGTCTGGGTAACAGAGGGAGACTCTGTCTCAAAAAATAAATAAATAAAATAAAGAAAAAGAAAAAGAAAAAAAAAAAAGATGGAGTCTCGCATTTTTGCCCAGGCTGGTCTCAACTCCCGTTCTCAAGCGATTCTCCCGCCTTGGCCCCTTGAGGAGCTGGGATTATAAGTGCCAGGCAAACAAGGCCTCTTTTATTTTATGTATTTATATTTATTTTTTGAGAAAGGGTCTTGCTCTATCACCCAGGCTGGGGCGCAATGGCATGATTTCAGCTCACTGCAACTTCCGTCTCGTAGGCTCAAGCGATTCTCCCACCTCAGCCTCCCAAGTAGCTGGGAGTATAGTCGTGCGCCACCATGCCTGGCTAATTTTTGTATTTTTCGTAGAGATGGTTTTTTGCCATGTTGGCCAGGCTGGCCTCAAACTCCTGAGCTCAAGTGATCCACTAACAGGGCTTCTTTTATAAGGGTGCTAATTGCAATTGTGAGGGCTCCATCCTCATGAAACAATCACCTCCTAAGGGCCCCACCTAATACCATCACCTTTCATGTAAAGATTTCAACATACGCATTTTGTTGGGGGAAACACACACTTAGATGATGGCAAAATGTTTGAAACAGTGACTCCTCCCACCCACTGCCTGAAATTGTCCTGTTATGTGATTGGACTGTATCCTGATGCTTCTCAATTCTGATGGCCCTCTTCCATGTGTGATGCCACTGGGAAATGTAGGCTCTTGAAACAGAGGAGCTTAGGAGAGTGTTGGGCTGTTATGTACAGAGTATCCACTAAGGGACCAGGCCCTCATCAGGAACGGGACACATGTGCTCTCACTGTTGGTCACAACCAGCCATGTTCCCAATGAGGAGGCCACACCAGTCTCAGTGGGCTCACAGGGTATCCAGGACTGGGTTCCAGAGCTGCACACCCCACCTGCTGCCTCTTCACAGAAGCGGGACATCTACCTTCCTCAGGCTAGTGTTGGCGGAACAAAAACACAAAGCACAACGTCAGTGCCGTGCCGCTTCCTGTCACCCCAGCGTCCCAATCCATGAGCTTGCCGTCTCCCTCCATTGTGATATTCTCAGTCATGTTTCACAGATTTCTGTGCAGAGGTTCTGTACATCTTTCTTTTCATTTGTTCTTCCATTTTTAACTTTTCTTTTTTCCTTTCTTTTTTTTTTAGTTTTTTTGATGGTCTCCCTCTGTTGGCCAGGCTGAAGTACAGTGGCGTGATCACAGCTTACTGTTGCCTTGAACTCCCAGGCTCAAGCCATCCTCTTGCCTCAGCCTCCCAATTAGCTGAGACTACAGGTACGCGCCACTGTGTCCAGCCTCATTCTATTTAAATTTTATTTTTAGGCCAGGCCTGATGGCTCATGCCTGTAAACCCAGCACTATGGGAGGTTGAGGTGGGTGGATCACTTGAGGCCAGGAGTTCGAGACCAGCCTGGCCACCATGGCAAAACCCCGTCTCTACTAAAAATACAAAAATTAGCCAGGCGTGGTTGTGCACGCCTGCAATCCCAGCTACTTGGGAGGCTGTGGCACGAGAATTGCTCGAACCTGGGAGACAGAGGTTGCAGTGAGCCAAGACCACACCACTGCCCTCCAGCCTGGGTGACAGAGTGAGACTCTGTCTCAAAAATAAATAATTTTTTATTTTTAATTGTCAGTATATAGAATTATGGTTAATTTTAAAATATTGATCTTATAGCCAAAATCCTTGCTAAACAATGTATCAGTTTATTATTATTATTATTATTATTATTATTATTATTATTTTGGGTCAGAGTCTCACTCTGTTGCCCAGGCTGGAGTGCAGTGGCCGGATCTCAGCTCACTGCAAGCTCCGCCTCCCGGGTTTACGCCATTCTCCTGCCTCAGCCTCCCGAGTAGCTGGGACTACAGGCGCCGCCACCGCGCCCGGCTAGTTTTTTGTATTTTTAGTAGAGACAGGGTTTCACCGTGTTAGCCAGGATGGTCTCGATCTCCTGACCTTGTGATCCACCCGCCTCGGCCTCCCAAAGTGCTGGAATTACAAGCGTGAGCCACCGCGCCCGGCTATATTATTTCAAAGAAACATGATGCTAGATAAGAATGATAGTATAAAGGAGTCATTGTGGAAAAGCTAAAAGTTGACAGTTGTTTACATCAGTATATGCTCGGCTTCTTTGACAATATTTACTTAATGTTTCTCCCCGTAGGAAAGATAGGTTTTGTTTTGTTTTGCTTTGTTTTTGAGACAGCATCTCGCTCTATCACCCAGACTAAAGTGCAGTGGTACGATCACAGCTCACTGCAGCCTCAGCCTCCCTGAGGGCTTAGGTGATCTCCCACCTCAGCCTCCTGAGTGACTGAGACTACAAGCACACAACCATGTCCCACTAATTTTTGTATTTTTTGTATAGATAGGGTCCCACTCTGTTGCCCAGACTGGTATCAATCTGTACTCAAGCCACCTGCCCACCTCAGCCTCCCAAAGTGCTGGAATTACAGGTGTAAGCCACCATCCTTAGTGAAAGATAGCTTTTCTCTTTTAACTCCAGAAAATGCTACAAGATGGATACACCACATCCACACAAATCTCCCAAGGACTTTGGAGAAGATGCATTTGGATGACTTTGTAACTCTTGACCTTAAACAATTTGGGGCAGCACCTCTCATTGTGCCCTGGGTGGTCCTCACGTCAGGCTTAGAAACACTAGCTGGGCTGGGCATGGTGGCTCACACCTGCAATTCCAGCACTTTGGGAGGCTGACGCAGGTGGATCAAAAAGTCAGGAGTTCGAGACCAGCCTGGCCAATATGGTGAAACTCCGTCTCTACTACAAATACAAAAAATTAGCTGGGCATGGTGGCGCATGCCAGTAGTCCCAGCTACTCAGGAGGCTGAGGTAGGAGAATCGCTTGAACCCGGGAGGTGGAGGTTGCAGTGAGCCGGGATTGTACCACTGGCACTCCAGCCTGTGCAACAGAGTGAGACTCCATCTCTAAAAAAAAAAAAAAGAAAGAAAGAAAAAGAAACACCAGCTGTCCTCAGGCTGAGGCAAAGGAAGGCAAGGGCACCCACACCTCGTGTGTGAGACACCATCCTTTGAAGAGGAACTACCTTCAGAGTTAAATTTAGGGAGCTGTAAGTAAGTGTGCCAGACTAAAAGGCAGAGATCAGTGCCTGCCTGAAAAAAATACAGTTTGAAAAGAAAAAAATAATAAAACAAAAATAAAATGCAGTTTGGCTGGGCATGGTGGCTCACGCCTGTAACTCCAGCACTTTGGGAGGCTAAGGCAAGCAGATCACTTGAGGTCAGGAGCTCAAGACAAGCCTGGCCAACATGGTGAAACTCCATCTCTACTAAAAATATGAAAATTAGCCAGGCGTGCTGGCAATGCGCCTATAATCCCAGCTGCTCAGGAGGCTGAGGCAGAAGAATCACTTGAACACGGGAGGCGAAGGCTGCAGTGAGCGGAGATCGCACTCACTGCTCTCCAGTCTAGGAGACAGAGCAAGGCACTGTTTAAAAAAAAAAAAAAAAGAAAAATGCAATTTGAAAGGTGACAGAGGGTCAAAATGAAGTACCTCTTGTCTACAGATGGTTACCTGGAGAAGCAGAAGGTGTGGCCTGCATTCAGACCTGCTCACCAGTCAAGGGAACACCACGTCCAGGCCCCTCCACCCCATCCTGCCAAGGGGGCCCGGCTGGCAGACCCAGTGGAGGATGGCACTGGCAGATTTTAAAGAGGGTATCATGGCCTGTTTTTGTTTTGTTTCTGAAACAGGGTCTCACTCTGTCACCCAGGCTGGAACGCAGTGGCACAGTTATAGCTCACTGCAGCCTCGACCTCCTGGGCTCAAGCAATCCTCCCACCTCAGCCTCCTGAGTAGCTGGGACTACAGATGTGTGCCACCATGTTCAGCTAATTTTTAATTTTTATTTTGTAGTGATGGGGTCTCCCTGTGTTGTCCAGGCTGATCTGGAACGCCTGGCCTCAAGCAGTCCTCTCACCTTGGCCTCCCAAAGCACTGAGACTTTGGGCACAAACCACTGCACATGGCCTGCTTAGTTGTTTTTTTTTTTAGATAGAGTCTCGCTCTGTCATCCAGGCTGGAGTGCAGTGGCACAGTCTTGGCTTATTGCAACCTCCACCTTCCAGGTTCAAGCGATTCTCCTTCCTCAGCCTCCTGAGTAGCTGGGACTACAGGCGCGAGCCACCACAACCAGCTAATTTTTTATATTTTTAGTAGAGACAGGGTTTCGCCGTGTTAGCCAGGATGGTCTCAGTCTCCTGACCTCATGATCCACCCACCTCGGCCTCCCAAAATGCTAGGATTACAGGTGTGAGTCACCGCTCCCGGCCACCTGCTTAGTTTTTAATTAAACACACACACACACACACACAGTCTGGGCACAGTGTCTCACACCTGTAGTCCCAGCACTTTGGGGGACTGAGGTTGGTGGATTGCTTGAGCCCAGGAATTTGAAAGCAGCCTGAGTAATGTGGTGAAACATCATCTCTACAAAATTTAGCTGAGCCTGGTGGCATACTCCTGTAGTCCTAGCAACTTGGGAGGCTGAGGTAGGAGGATCACTTGAGTCCAGGAGGTGAAAGAGGCTGCAGTGAGCTATGATTGCACCACTGCACTCCAGCATGGGCAACAGAGTGAGACCCTGTCTAGAAAAATACAAAAACAAAAAAATAAGGTCAAGTGTGGTGGCTCATGCCTGTAATTCCAGCACTTTGAGGGGGCCAAGGTGGGAGGATCACTTGGGCCAAGCAGTTCAAGACCAACCTGAGCAGCATAGTGAGACGTGTCTCTACAAAAGTTTTTAACAGTTAGCCAGGCATGGTGGCACGCACCCGTGGTCCCAGCTACTCAGGAGACTGAGGTGGGAGGATCACTTGAGCCTGGGAAGTCAAGGCTGCAATGAGCTGTGTTTTCACCACTATGCTTCTGCTTTGGTGATCCTGTCTCAAAGTATATATTACTCAAAGAATCACAGACTATTAGAGCTGGAAGGGATCACAGAAGACCTCTACCTCCATGTTTCCTAAAGTATGCTCCATGGAACCTTGAGGTACCTCGTGAAAAAAAGGTTCTGTGGCTAAATGGGTTTGGGGCAGGTTGCATACTCTCTCATGCCCTCCTTCCTCTTTGTAGAAGCATGATTCTTCTCACTTTGCTAAAGGCTCTGAGAAGACCTGCAGACAATAAACTTATGTGTTGTTGTTTGATCCAGTGCTTCCCAATTTACCTGACTTCCCAAAGCTTCTTTAATCACGTGCAGAACATGTTTTAGGAACGAATGATTTGCTCCAGTGCCTGCATTTTAGTCTTGAAGAAACAAAGTGCCCCCAAAGCCGAGGGCTTGGTCAGCCCTGTGGCCTCAGGAGCTTGCTCTGTACTGCCCCAAACCCCTTCTTTCACTCTCATGGGGAGTTGGTGCCTTAGACCGAGTGCACCCAGCGTGCAGAACTGCAGTCCAGGCTGCTGCAAATGTCCCTGGCTGTGATTAGAGCATCTTATCAAAGCATCAGGATCCTAAAACACAGAGGAAGGAATTGTATCAGGGAGAAACACTGGGCCCAGAAGACCCAGAGTCGGCCCGGTCACCATCCGGGTGTGGGATGTGGGTCTGGGGGAGAGAGCAGCAACGGCTGGAGACATGTCCCAGCAAGCACCGAGAGGCACAGTCAGATGAGTTAAGCAGGTTCACTGATGGCAGGAGAGGCAGCAGGCAGAGGGGGCCGCACTTCTCTGCTCGGTTGGGTGGTGGATGTGTTAGCCATGCTGAGTGAGGAACACCAGAAGAAAAGCAGGTTGGGAGGAGGGTAGAGATGGGATGCGGGAATCGGGCTGAATTTCTGAACACAGGTGTGGAGGGTGGAGACCTGGAGAGGATGGGCTTATCTAGGAAAAGACAGAGGGAACCCCCCACCGGTTCCCCACCCCCGTGCCCCAGAGGGCGAACTCAGTGACTGCCCGGGCCCTGGGGATGGAGATGGGGCAGACAGCAATGGCACCCCTCCACCAGCAGAGGGCCACGGTGTCAGCCATCCAGAGAGAAGTGACACAATGAAGCCCTCAGAGACATTATCTTGCCTTGTGGAACTAAACCCTTGCAACAAAGTTCCCCAGCACAGCGCTCAAAGGAGCAGAAGGCGGGCTGAGGGGAGCCAGCGACGACAGAGCCTTCTGGGCCTTTGCCGAGGCGTACAGTCGCTGACAGCAGGGCAGGGGGCCTCAGGGATTCCGGGCAGAAACGAGTTTTGTGGATGTGTGAGGGAGACGGGGTGGGCAGCTGCGAACTGGGGAGACTGATGCGGTGGTTCATCAACAGGAAAGTGATAACATTCATGATTATTTAAAAATTCCCATGAAATACCACAGCAAAGGTACGGAAAAAGCATATACAACGTAAAAGTGCAGTTGAAGGGATGGCCGCCGAATGCAGGGCAGCACTGCAGGAAGGAACAGGCCTGGCACCTCCAAATCCCCCAGGGCTCTGCTGGGGTCACAGCCCACCCACCCCAGCTGTATTCACCATTCTGACACTTAGAGTAACCACCTTCTTGCTCTTCTGTCAATTATTTACTACTTAATGATGCATCCCTAAACAATGCAGTTTAATTTTGCCTGCTTTGGAATTTTTGTGAATGGCTAGATTCCACCCTGTGAAGATGACCACTGTTTCTCCATCCTGCCCTCGGTGGTATTCAGTGCCGTGCAGTCCAGGCTGTGATGAACAATGCCATGCACACTGCCACCCGGGTTTCCCGGTGCTCCTAACTACACATTTCAGGAGCACGTTTTGTATCAGCAACGTGGTGAAGACTGATGTCCTTTTGAGTTTTTGGAGGAAGTGCTGGTTCTCCTGCCCTTCTTCAGGGCTGTCCTCCAAGACTGCACAGAACTAGTTAGGACCAACCTGTTGGCTGCGGAGCTCCTGGCAGTCAGAACTCCTGTTTATTCTTCGCCCGGAACAGGGCCTTGCACCCAATATGCAGACAGCCGATGCCACGGGGTGAAGGAATGTGCCGGGAAATCTGGAAAAAGGCGACCAGTCACTGTAGACTGTGGGTCACCCTCTGCCTTCTAATCCTCCACCACTCAGGGGAGAAAGGAGGTAACCACAGGCTGGCTTTTCCAGGAAAGCCGCCGAAAAACAGACGGACCCAGAGGGACGGGACAGAAATGCTCGGAGGCGCACGACGGTCCGAGGAGGCCCCGACTGCTGGAATGGGCGTGTCCGCTGATCTGATCCCTGATACCAGCTACAACGTACTAAAAACTTGTTGGACTTTCTAACTGCTGTAAACGGAGGAGCTGGGTTCTGGGGCCGCGCCGGGAGGTGGCGGTGTGGTCCTGCGCGAGCGGCCGGCCGCGTTCAAGTTCAAGCTCCGGGCTGGGAGGCAGCTTCCCGACCTCCGTGTTTCTGTAGTAACTTAAAGAGCCAGGCTGGGGGCTGAGGGGCTCAGCGGGGGAGGGTTCCTGCACCCCGGGGGCGGCGGGGAAGGCGAGGGCGCGTGGGCGACCCCGCTCCGGCGGCACAGCCAGGGCGCCCGGCTCCTCCCCGTCGGGAAGACGCGGCTTCTCTGGGCGGCGGGGAAGGGTCCCCGGGGCCGCGCCCGCCCCCGCGCCACACGGGCCGCGCCGCCCCTCGGCCCTCGTCCCCGCTCCCGCCCGCGCTTCCCACCGCCTGGCCAGGTCCCCAGGCCCCTCCCCGGGTCCCCGCCCCAGGCCCCGCCAGACCCGGCGCCGCCGCCGCCCCCGCCCGCGCGCCCAGCCCCGCTCCCCCCGCGAGCGCGCTCCCGCCGCCGGCCGCGCCTCCCCTCCCCCTCCGCCTTCCTCCCCCGCCCTCCTGCTCCCGCTCCCGCCGCCGCCTCCGCCCGCCGCCCCGGCCGCGTCGGGTAAACCTGTTTGGAGAGGCGGCCGCGCCGGGGCGGATCGTGCGGCCGGCGGCTCCCTCGCGGCTCGCGGCGTCGGGGCCCGTGGCGCGCGCGCGGCCGCCCCTCGGCCCCGGAGCCCCTCGGCGGCGCCACCATGTACTCGGGAGCCGGCCCCGGTGAGTCCTCGCGCTCGGGGCGCCCGCCCGGCCGTTCGCGCGCTCCTGCCCGTGGTTGGCGGGCCCGGCGCGGGCGGCGGGGGCCGGGGATCGGGGGGCCGCGGGGTCGGGGCGGCGGGGGCCGGGGGCGGGCGAGCCGGGGCCGGGCTTGGGGGCTCGGGGAGCGGCGGCGGCGGGGCCGGGCCGGCCGTTTTCTCGGCCCCGCGTTGGACGCGCAGCCCCGGCCTCCTCGGCCCCCGCGAGTCGTCGGGGCGCCCCGCGCGGCCTGGGCCCCTCCCGCGCCTCGGGCCCGCGTCCCAGCGTCCTCGCATCCCCCGCCCGGGGCCCGGCGGGCTGGGGCCGGGGCCGAGGCTGCCGCCGCGTGTAGGCCCGAGGCCCGGAGCGCCCCACTTGGCCCGGCCTCGCTGCCCGCGCGGGGATGGGGGCGCCGCAGCCCGGCCCGGCCCGGCCCTAAGCGCCCGAGGGGGTGGAGGCCGGCTCGGGGCGCCCGGCCCGGGGCGCGCACGGCCGGGAGGGGAGGGGGCTGCGCGGGTCCCGACCCCAGCCGCCGCGAGTCTGAGGCGCGCTCCGTTGTGGTCCAAGATTCTTGTTGCCAGCACTTCTTCGGCCCCTTTTCCCAAGGAAAGTCTGGAAATGCTGAATTTTGGCCAATTCCTGTAGTTAGGACTGCCGCCTGGAAGGGGGAGGACGCGGCTCCCCGGAACCCTCAAACTGCGTGCGCGGCTCGTTCTCATTCCAGACACGCCGGCCTCCCCATTCAAGTGCTAATTCCTTTTACAATTTCCTAGGAGAGGTGAGGCGAGGTGGATTCCTGTAGCACCCCTTGTTGCTAGTCGGCCTTTCTCTGGAAAAGTTCTAAAAAACTTAAAGCAGTAACGCATTGTTTTTCTTTTTAAATGCAGAGTAGAAGGCGGTTTCCTTGCTGGGCCAAGAAAACGGTCAAGTGTTGTACTGCTTTTGGCGTGCTCCCACCAGGCACGTGGCTCCTGGCTCTCCCGGCCGGCCTGGCCGCTGGGACGGGGCACCGCCTGCTCCCCTTTGTCCGCTGGGCCCCAGTCGGGCCGCAGGCGGCGCAGGCGGCGCAGGCCTCACCGGGCTCGGGGCTTATGTTTACCCGGCCGGTGAGGAGGCTCGCATTCCCGATGCTGCCCTCGCTGCTGCAGACCGGCCCCAACTTGTGCGGCCGGGGAGGCCCCCTGGCCCACCTGAGTCCATTGATGCCCCCACTGCTGAGGCTGTTGGCTCTGTGCCTTGCGAATGTCGCGTCTTTTTTCTGATGTCATTTAGAAAGCTTCAACAAGGCGGAGTCTGACCAACTTTTCAAGCCATGAGGGCTATCAGCAGTTTGAAGAATGGTTTTCCCCCTACACCTGGGAGGGGCCCCAGTCCTGGAGCAGATGCTGGCCTCTGGAGGCCCTGAGTGGCCAGGCGCCCTCGTGAGAAGGGACCGGGCATCCGCTTGTGTGAGTTGGGACCTTCCAGCTCCTTCCTATAGAGGAACGCAGCAAACACGGGACTGACAGTACTACATTTGTTCAGGTTATCAGTTTTAAAAGTTGGAGGCCCAGAAAAAGTGAAGAGCCTTGAGGAAGGTCAAGCTTTCCGTGTTGTGTTTTGCGTGTTAGTTAATTCGCTCCGCTTGCGGAGGTTGGTGGTGTTTGTGAAGACAGACAGCCAGGGCTCACAGAAGCTGAGAACTTCACCAAGGTCACGCGGCAGTGAGTGAGTGTCAGGACCATCAGTCGGACTTCCGAGCTGGTTCTCTGGGTGCCTTCCTCAGGGCAGTGCCTTTCAGGCCCTATAACCCAGACCCACAGTAAGAAGTCTCTGTTAGGGCTGGACTGGACCAGCACCTGCCCGCCTACTTGTCATTGACAGTGAGGCTTCAGGAAGAACCCCAGCTCACTGCTGTACTTGACTGTGTGCTCTGCCCTGGGATGCTGTCTTGTCGATTTCATTTGTCAGCGTACCTTGGCCCTCAGGATCCACAGGCTTGTTTCTGTCGCTCGCTGCTGTTTGGAGATTGTTGCTGTGGTGTGGGCCTGGTAGGGAGTGGACCCTCTGGAACAGGACAGTGGTTGAAAGAATAAATGTGTCTGCAGGATAATTCATAGCTAATGGCAGGATGGGAATGAACCCAAGTTTCAGGTTGTACAAACGTGCTGTAATTATAAGTCTGTGGTGCAGTTCAATTTTATGCTACACATTAAGGCTTTTAATTTTGTGTAAAAGGAATTTTTGGAATAGTCTTCATTGAGACTCTTTTTAATCTTATATTTTCTAATTTGGAATTATAAGACATTCCATTTGAATTATAGAAAAATTACATTGGGAGGCCAAGGTGGGTGGATCACGAGGTCAAGAGATTGAGACCATCCTGGCCAACATGATGAAAACCCTGTCTCTCCTAAAAATACAAAAATTAGCTGGGCGTGGTGGTACGCGCCTGTAGTCCCAGCTACTGGGGAGGCTGAGGCAGGAGAATCGCTTGAACTCTTGAGGCAGAGGTTGCAGTGAGCCAAGAGGGCGCCACTGCACTCCAGCCTGGGGACAAAGTGAGACTCTGTCTCAAGAAAAAAAAAAGAAAAGAAAAATTACAAATAGTTTTGCTACTTCCAATTGTAACACCCTTATTAGGCAACTTACTAATTTAAAAAACAGTTCACAATAGCTCTACATTATACCAATCACAAACAAATGCTGTTACATATGTAAATACTATTTAGAATCTGAAGTTAGAAACATGACTGTTTTTTCCATTTTTTGAACTGAGTTATTAGGATGGGTGGATTCTCCGGTAACCTTGAACCTTCGTTGATGAACAAATTAGTTGTTTGGTTTTTTTTTTTTTTTTTTTTTTTTTTTGAGAGAGAGTCTTGCTCTGTCGCCCAGGCTGGAGTGCAGTGGTGCAATCTCGGCTCACTGCAAGCTCCGCCTCCCGGGTTCACGCCATTCTCCTGCCTCAGCCTCCCGAGTAGCTGGGACTACAGGCGCCCGCCACTGCGCCCAGCTAATTTTTTTCTATTTTTCAGTAGAGACGGGGTTTCACCATGGTCTCGATCTCCTGACCTTGTTATCCGCCCGCCTCGGCCTCCCAAAGTGCTGGGATTACAGGCGTGAGCCACCGCGCCCGGCAGTTGTTTGGTTTTTTAACCATTCAAAGGCCTTGAACTGTGTCTGGTGATCGCCTCCCCCAGGGTATTGTCTCTTATGACTTTGCTAGGCTTTCAAGCTCCTGTGTATTACACCCCTCGCAGATTTGCCACAAAGTAACCTCTGTGACATCTAAAACTTGACAGTTGTCTAAATAGGATTGTGACTTTGAGAAGAGCTGACCTTCACCATGGTTTATAGAGCCATTTAACTCCTCCTGCCCCCTCTCTCCCTACCCTCAGTGGTCCCCATGAAGCTGTGGCCAGTTCTCCCAATACTGGTGCCCATTTGCCATGGCAGGATATCACGGTCTACCCATGGGGCAGCAGACATGGCTGAGGCCATCGCAGTATGGCTGGGTATGTGTGCAGAGTCCCCCTTGGGTCTTTGATAAACCCTGGGGAATAATTTAAGTAAGTGTATAGGAAAAAAGATGTAAATGCTTCCAAACTCCTAAAACCCGTACAATTTGAAGAAGCAGAATTATTTTTTAACTTCTAGTTTCCATCTCAACAGTGTCCCCAATGCCAGTCGGGCTTATTCTGTCTGAGCTGTGCAGTGACTGCTCTCCTGTCATGGTCCCGTCTCAGGTGGTTTTGTTTTATGAATCGTTATTCTGAATCTTCAAAACGTAACATTTGAGTTTTAAAAATAGTTAATATTGTGAAATAATTGAAAAGACACAAAAGTAGAGTGACTTGTTTAATACCCTCCCATTTATCCATTACGAAGCTTCAGCAGTCATCAAGGTTTTCCACATTTGCTTCAAATATGCCCCTTTCTGTGGACATTTTCCAAAGTGAATTGCAGACCTGTCATTTTACCTCGCTATTTAAGTATGCGTGTCGAAAGCAATGGAGACATTTCGAATGTGCCCCAGTGCCGTTATCACAGTTAACGGTCTGTGATCAATTTCTCTCATTTTCTCAGAAATGTGTTTACAGTTGGGTGCTTTGGATCCTGAATTTTAACAAAAGTTCACACACACATTTGGGTCTCTGCCTTCCACCTCTAAAGCTAGCCCGCCCTCTCTCTTCTCCCTGCATTTGACTTGTTATATTTATGTCTTTTTTTTTTTTTTGAGACAGAGTCTCGCTCTGTGGACCAGGCTGGAGTGCAGTGGCCCGATCTCAGCTCACTGCAAGCTCCGCCTCCCGGGTTTACGCCATTCTCCTGCCTCAGCCTCCCGAGTAGCTGGGACTACAGGCGCCGCCACCTCGCCCGGCTAGCGTTTTGTATTTTTTTAGTAGAGACGGGGTTTCACCGTGTTAGCCCAGGGTGGTCTCAATCTCCTGACCTCGTGATCCGCCCGTCTCGGCCTCCCAAAGTGCTGGGATTACAGGCTTGAGCCACCGCGCCCGGCCTTTTTTTTGAAACGGAGTCTTGCTCTGTTGCCCAGGCTGAAGTGCGATGGCACCATCTTGGCTCACTGCAACCTCCTCCTCCTCCCGGGTTCAAGCGATTCTCCTGCATCAGCCTCCTGAGTAGCTGGGACTAAGCCGCCACGTCCAGCTAATTTTCGTATTTTTGGTAGAGATGGGGTTTCACCATGTTAGCCAAGCTGGTCTCAAACTCCTGACCTCAAGTGATCTGCCCATGTCAGCCTCCCAAAGTGCTGGGATTACAGGCATGAACCACTGTACCCGACCTACGTCTTTTAAAATCTCTTTTCTTCCGAGCATTCGTGCCTCCCCTCCTGCTCCATTTTTTCTTTAATGGTTTTAGAAAGAACCCCATTGCTCAAAATCTTTGTTTTTTGGTCTCCATTTTGTTGAGGGGGGCTGTTTGGAGACCCAGTTGCTCATGGTTTTAATTCTGACACATTTAAGTGGTGTTTTGTTTTGTTTTGTTTTGTTTCTGAGGATTGGGGTTGCTCTCTGTTGCCCCAGCTGGAGTACAGTTGCACAGTCATGGCTCACTGCGGCCTCAAACTCCTGGGCACAGGCCGCCCTCCTACCTCAGCCTCCCTAGTAGCTGAGACTACAGGCATGTGCCGCCATGCCCAGCGAAGGTTTTTTCACTTTTTTAGAGATGGAGTCCTGACATGTTGCCAGGCTGTTAAGCATGTTTTGGGGCAGGTCCCTTTGCATGTTTAATTTTCAGTTGCAGCAGAATCCTTTTTGTGGTCCTCTTTCAGCAGAAGTGACGCTGTATAACCTGTGGCAAATATGGAAGAGAACTGGAGAATCTTGCCCAGTGTATCTCATAATTATTTCAAATAAGAGGGATTCTTTTCTCCCCAGTGTTGGGTTGGGAACGGCTCCCTCCTTCACTTACCTCTGCCCTTATCGTTTGTGGCCAGCTCTGCGCTCCCTGTGGTTGCTGCCTCCTCCTCACTGGGGATCTGCTGGCCCACGCCACACATTCAGAGCCCTAAGCCTGCTGCTGCGGTCAGGGGCCTGCACTTGTTCGCTGTAGCCACTATTCTAATTTTTTCCTCCAAAAGTTTAGGAACTTGAAACCACTCTTTGTTCTCGGTCCTTTACACGTTGTGACCAAATCACCAGGCCCCTCTGGTTTCTCTCTCCATGGAGCTGTATCCAGGGTGAGTAGACTCTTCATCATCTGCACTGGGAGTTTTCTCCAGGGCAGTGGGCACCCGTAAGCTTTCCCTGGTACGACAGGCAGACACAAGACCTGTCCGCGCAAAGCAGGGTGGACGGGCGGCCTCTCAGGTTCAGTGCATTTTTTAAATCTGGGGCTTGCGTATAGCTTAAAGACGAACAGGCTTGAACATTTTAAACTTGTTTCACCCCTCATGGCACTGCACTTCCTGAAATCCTCATAAAATCTGATGGGCGTGAGTGTGGTGTCATTGAGGTTGCCACTGGTTCTTTCCAAAGGGTGCTGACGTGCGTCCCCGTGGTGAGCTGGGAGAAGCAGGGTGTGGGAGGCGGGCCAGGCCTCCCTCTGTCTGCCAGGAGCCAGGCTGTGTGGGTTGCGTCAGGAACTGGAAGCCCTACCTCTTTCTTCTTCTCCTTCTTTTTTTTTTTTTTTTTTTTTTTAAGACGGGGTCTCACTCTCGCCCAGGCTGGAGTGCGGTGGCACAGTCAAGGCTCACTACAGCCTCAGCCTCCCCTGGCTCAGGAGATCCTCCCACCTCAGCCCTCCTGGGCAGCCTCCCAGGTAGCCTACAGGTGTGCACCACCGCGCCTAGCTAATGTTTTGTAGAGACGGGGTTTTCCCTGTGTTTCCCAGGCTGGTCTGGAACTCCCGGATTCAAGTGACCCACCTGCCTCAGCCTCCCAAAGTGCTGGGGTTACAAGTGTGAACCACTGCGCCCGGCCCCTGCCTTTTTCCTCTTCTCACTGTCATCGAGGTGGACAGACAGGAGTCTGGTCAGACTCCAGCCCTGTCCACATCTGCTTGCGTGGCCTCAGTTTTCTCACCTGTGAAGTGGGGACTTTGGCCTGGATGACTAGCGTCCTCTCCAACCTGACTTCCCTCATACAGTGACTCTTCTGCCTTCCCACCTGGCCCCGGCCAAGGGGCACGGGTGCCTGTGCTGGAGGGGAGTGGCACGTTCCCCACGAATCCCCACGAATCCTTAGTCTGCATACCGTGACCCGGGACAGAAGAGAAGGTGCTGGAGGCCTGCAGTGACAGCCGGAGTCAAGGTCACATAGGCTGGCAGAGCCTGGCTCCTACTCTTTCTTGCAGTGTTTCTTTTCCTGTTTGATGTGTCAAAAAAATCCATGACTCCCAGAGTTAGGCATTTATTATTA